CTTTCATCGCAAAGCAATTGAGGCAGTATTCAATTACATACTTTGTTTAAGTTAAACTTTTACTTAAAGATTTTGCTAAGCTAAGTAAAACGTCTGAAGTCCTATTCAGATCGCATCTAAGAAATTTACTTTCGCAAGCCGACTTTACGCCAAAATACTTACTGATAAGCATTGTGACACTACACGATCAATCTAAAGTAATGTGCAATTTATTAAAGGCGTCGCAACAAAATTATTGTGCGCTAATCTAATTGTGCGTCGCGTCATATCTAAAGGTGGCAATTATTCATTTTTTGTTTTCTGGTTATTGCATCCGTTAGAATAGTCATAACTATCCTCTTGCCAAGTGATAGTTTCATAATTTTGTATGTAACGTATTAACATATTGAGCAATTGTTATTGAAATGATATGGTCCTTGCTTACAATATAAGTTATCACATTTTATAACGAATACAATTTAGATAGTTATTGCTGCATTAGGAGAGCGAAATTGCCCTGTACTTTTACTGTCGATAAGACTTGTTTTTACAAAATGTCGGCTGAAGATGTCAAGAATAGCTAGACGATTTTTTAACAGAACAAGAGAAAACACGAGATGGAATTATGATCATCGAGGCCTCTATATGAGCTTTTGTAATAGTAATTGCTATATGCCCTCACGATAAGCATATGACATTATAAGATATATTATAAGTATATTTGGCGTCACCTCTGCCGGAGAGGGGGAAAACTGAATAACTGTAACTCTTGGGTCTCTCCTCCACTTATAATACTGACTGGAACGTGCCGGTGCACCGCTACAACGGGGTTTACCCCTACCCCTTTTCGAATGATGCAGTGGGTTCTTAACGTGCAACTCGATCTCCTCTTCACAGAGCCTCCATTTAAGTGTTTTCCCATCTAAACTAGCATGACTCTAATATAAACAAAGGAGGAACAAGTTTAACACAACACTGGCTTCAGTCATCCGCCTAGGTTGGATTCAAACCAAATATCTTTGGTTCGACAGGCAGACCGTTTACCTGCATCATGTACTTCATATCTCTCCCCCAACCATCTATCTTTTCGCTAGATGAATACGATGGTTATCACTCTTCCCCATAAACACAATAAGCATCTTTCCCTTTCAATTCATATTCTATTATTTCGGAATGACAATCATGTGGTTGTATAACCATTTTTAACCAAGAGCACGAATTATTTATTCTTTTAACTAGCTCTTGACATCGGGACAGAATTTGGTACGTACAGAGGGAACTTGACGATCGTTTCACCAAACTATCCAGACAATTATCCAAATAACGTCAACACTCAATGGCTTGTTTCTGGACCAGCAGACTACCAGATCATGGCAGTTTTTAGCACCTTTGATCTGGAAGACAACTATGATTTCCTGAGGGTTGGTTCTGGTCTTGATCCAGATGATACAGCATCATTATTGGCTACTCTCTCAGGTTCTATTCTACCTGATATAATAGTCTCTAACAGCAATGAGATGTGGCTGGTTTTTACCTCAGATGTTTCAGTTACAAAACTGGGGTTTAGGGTAAACATCGAAGTTTATACTCCAGGAAACTATGCAGGTAATATTGATGAACCTTCAGCTTTTATTTCCAACATATTAGCTTTATACAACAATCAATGTATGTCATTAATAATGATAACATCAGTCTGCATTGTTTTGATCAAAGTCTTCCGTCGGTAGATTACTGCATTTTAAACGTAAACCTCGCCCAAACACTAGCTTTATATAACAAACAAAACTGGTTATTTGTTATCAATTTTTATTCAACGAAAATTTCTACATATTATTACTGGAAAATGAGAGGTTATTTGATCGCACTTCCACAGAGACGATTGAAACGTCAAGAATATATAATTCCTTCGCATTAAAGATTTGTAATAGTCATATAATTCGGTATGGTAATATCATTTCCTGTTTGCATTTCAGACTATATCACGGACTCTTTTTCATCAAGTGATTTTCTCGACATGAGTAGTATTGATTCTAAAAGTAAAAATAGAATATTAATAATCACTGAAAAAAAAGGATACATTTTGATATATTGGATAAAATACAAGATGCAAATTGCTTCAGATTATCTGATTCGTATGTGACAGCCGCATCTTGAGTATGCTTTTATTTTCAACATAATAACTGTACACAACAATTAATGTAAGTCACTATAAATATAGATGAAATCATTCTTAATTGCCTTAAAGTCGATATGATGACTGCATTTCAAACCTGAATCTTTATTTTGACAGTTTTATCAATTTTGATTCGGTTGAAATTTCCTCATACGTTTATTATCATTTTAATTTTAAAGAAAGGTAATTTGATTGCACTTCCACAAAGAAGATTATAACGTCAGTAGAGTGCTTGAAACCTATATCATTGAGAGTCTCTTTGGGATATCCGCATGGGAGAAAGAATGTATTATAATCGCAGAAAAAGGTTTTGGAATAGTCTTATGTTTTGGTATGGTAATATCATTTTCTGTTTTTGTATTTCAGACTATATGACGGACTTCCAGAACATGAGTAGTTTTTATTCAAGCGACTCTGCAGGTAAAAATATAATATTGATAATTACTAAAAAAAAAGGGATACATTTTGATAATTTTTGATGGGATAATATCCCATCACACGCAATCCCGCCCTCTCACAATGCTTCCGATTTCCTGATCCGGTGTGACAGCCGTATCTCAATGGGTATGATGATGGTCGGTTGATGATTGTTTCACCTGACTACTTCGAAAGCATGTATATGCTTTTAAGTAAGCAACCAGGAGAGCAACGGCTTTCATTCCTCTCCGAGGGACTTGGTAATGATGACCAATGCCTTAGGGAAAGGGAAACGAGAGCATTGACGTGGTTTCGAACCCAGTTTTATTTCTTACCTTTTACCCTTTTGATTTTATGTCTGTTCTTTATGGCATGTGTATTTGTATTTGTATTTTGTATTGTATCAATAATATCTTAAATGTTTAATATTTCAGGCCTTGTGTTCATTTTGATCTAGTTTTTAAGTTGTTTAGTTCTCTTATGGTATGTTGTTTATATAATGTCTTTGTTTTCTACAATGTATTCTATTTTTTGTTAATCTTTGTATGGATAGGGCTCTTTTGTAAAGCAGGCCTCTGGCACTGAAAAGACTACCCTGTTTTTAAATAAAACTGAATAAATAAATAAATAGGACCTCCTGCTTGATACCACTGAGCCATCGCGCCTCCTGAATGACGGTTCATAAAGAACATTTTACCACAATTTTGCTCATATTAAAAAAAAACTTACTAAGCTAGTTGTTAACTATTTACATAGTCAAAAATACATAGTTTGCAAATAGAAATAGGTACTACCTAAAGTTATTATTTGACATAAGCCTACCCAGTTTCAACATGTATACTAACCAATTAATTTGCATTGATATAATTAGACTTACATACGTTATGTTAATATGTAAATTGTGAACATCGCCAACATTTCTCGACCTAATAATGACAAATATTCCTGCCTTTCATTCATTTAATAATTCTCATCATTCTTAATAATGAATGATGTTTAATACCTTGAAGTTTCTTGGAGCACCAGTCAACTCGATAAACCAGTGCCTCTAAAGTAATAAGACTAGGAGTCAGTTACAGGTCCGGTCATTGTTTGTCCATTGTGATTAACCAACAATAATAATGTGTCGATAACGGGTGATATACCTCTCATAAAGCTTCATGAAACGTTACCTCATACAAGATAAATCGTATGAATAATTACGATATCTTCTATACCATTTATTTCCACAGAAACTATGGATTCATATCAGTATGCAGATAATACATGCTTTAAGGAATCATGCCTTGATGGCGAGGAAACGACTGTATGTAGATGCGATGACATGTGTCAATTCTTCGGTGATTGCTGTCCAGACTATCCTGTACTAATTTCCAACGGGACTCGGTCAAACGAGACAGGATCAAATGAGACTCTTTCAAACGAGGCTCTATCAAACAAGGCTTTACCAAACGAGACTGTATTAGACATTGACGTATGGGAATGTATCGTTGATACTTTTCTTCCACTATTCTACCCAGAGCTCGGACATGGTTACAGGATGATTGCTAGGTGCCCATCAGGATGGTCTTTAGAGGAGGATGTCAAACGAAACTGTGAAGAGGTTTCTCCCAATGCAACTATAGATGTTCTTTATATCTACAACAACATATACTTTAGAAACCTGGGTTGTGCTACTTGCCATGGGTATACTGAAAGTTCTTTGACAGCTGTTGTCATTTCAGCAGACCAACAATGTTGGTGGGGATATGAGTATACTCTTGCATGCATGACACCAATGCCCACATTACAGTCCAACGTTTCGATGAATATCAGCAGATCTGATATCATGCTTACTGTTCAAACTATTCCGAAACCTCGACTTTGCCTCGTAAATACAACGGGAAGTTGTCCAAACGGGACTAATGAAGAGATAGCCCGCGTGTGTCAGTTTTATTACAAACCATGCGTCGGTGAAGGTATTGTAAGTAAGCATCCTGCATGCAGTTTTTGCAATGGAGGTTCAGATTCCGATGACAGAATGTATGATGAACCTGATGGATTAGTAGATATTTTCCAAATGTTGAACGAGCATATCGTAGCCGCTCCTATACAGACATTTTGTTTAGAAGGATTTGAATTGGATGGCAATGGTTACTGCGCTCCGATATCATCCGATTGGCCCGTCTGTCAATCCAGACATTTTGGAGTCAAACAAAGTAAAGGGACTGTCGAGTGTTTAGAAGAGATGGTTTGTTTTAGGGAGGTTACCATAGATAACATTACAACATCGGCAAAAGTTCCCCCACCTTGTCTAGTTAGGTCATCAACAGACGAGATTAATGATATTATAACATTCAACTTGCATTACAGAGATGACATGAATCCATCTCTTTATACAATCCAGAGTGATATCATAAATCGAATTAAAAATCCTAGCCGTGACGGTTGCAATGACATAGTAATATCAGCTAGTCAGTTCTGTCATGTCGAAGACAATCCTGGAAACATTACATATCGTTGTCCCGAGGAAATGTTTGTTGGATACTGTTTGGATTTTACGCCTTTTCTTACCAACAACGAGTCTCTTATTTTCTTCAATGGAACTTATATTCGTCCAAAATGGTGGAGTAATATAACCAACATGCAGTTCAGCAGTGCCAACGTCTCATCTGAGTATCAGTTTGTGGTGTGTGGGACCGAGATTGCCCTCCAAACCTGCTCTTTCTTCACGGTTTCCAATGATTCCATTGAATGGGACTACCAAGAAAACCAGTCTGTTATTCTGTATCAAGGTCAGATGTACGACACAGAGGATATTCTGATTCATCCCGATGGTTCCATAAGCATCTGCTATATTGATCAGGTCACACCCATTGACAGTAGGACATTGATGATCATAGGACATGTTCTCTTTGCCATATCATCTGTTTGTCTCTTTGCTACATTGATAACTTACGTTGCCTTCTCTACCTTGCGGAATCGTCAAGGTGTATCCATAATGAATTTCATTGTTGCGTTGTTCCTTGGACAAATCTTTCTTCAGTACATACGTCTTTCAGTCTCCCAGTTTAGAATTCCTTGTATAGTTGTTGCTGCATTATCCCATTTCTTCTTCCTTGCTTCGTTTGTTTGGACGACTATCCTTGCTTGGGACCTGAGTCGAAGCTTCGCAGCAAACAAGATAAAATCATTTTCATCTAGCTCATTTGGTCGTAAGATGGTGGCTTTTCTTGTTATTGGATGGGGCACTCCTCTCGTCTTTGTCTCGATCACTTTGGTACTTCAGTTCGGAGGATTCCAGAATGGTCCTTTCTTGGAATACGACATTAATACATGCTGGCTTGCCAAACTATCTAGCATAGTAACGTTCTTTGTTCCAATGTCGTTATGTCTTTTATCCAATCTCGTATTTTTTATCATCACGGTGCATGGAGTTCATTCTACCAAGAAAGCAACATCGGTGCTAAAATCTGGCCAGGACTCTCAATTCAAACAATTGGCTGTTGAGCTCAGAATATATGTCAAGGTATGTTTCAAATTAAAGGGATTATTAAACGTATTTCATATAACACAAAGATCCCTATGCTATGCAGGAATAAATCGGGCAATCGGCCTAAACCTCTGACTACCCGGCGCCATATATTGTTTATCATCAATTTTTTGGTCATTTTGAATTATGTATTTCTCTGTTCCGGCTATTGACAGTCAGTCGGTGTGGCTGAAGTAGAAAAGTCGATTAATTTTTGAAAACTTATTTACAGAAATTCTACACCAAAAACACGTTTACACCAAAACACCCCTAGGTTTAGAATATTGCGGATGGCTGTATAAATTGTCCGCAATAATTATAAACCGGCAAAATATATTATGTATTCATTTTAATGTCTGGATAAACCAACACTCTCCTGCAAACTTCCTATTGAAATCTCTTTAAATAGATCTCAGCTCTTCTTGGATTCGCCTGGTTATTTGGGTTCTTAGCTATGGTCTCCAATGTCCCCTTCATGGAATATCTCTTCATCATCGTCATCAGTCTCCAAGGCGTCTTCATTTTCATTTCATTTGGTACCAACATTCGAGTGAAGAAACTTTGGCGAACATTTGTGGAGAACTCATCTCTCCTGTCTATGAGTAAATTCTCGCGAGGTAGTACTGGAGCACACGATGGACCTAAAAGTGAGAAACATTAAGCACTATTAATGTGTGAAAGAGATTAAATTTGCCTCATAACAATTTGACACGTTCTTTTATTTGGTATCATTGTTGTGACTGATGAAGTAAACAAAATTGTAGGAACTTTGTTGTCTGAATTCGTAATAGCGAGTGACTATTTGGAAGCCTTATTCATTATGTTCACCGAAACGTTATGAAAAACAGATCAGATATGCCTATCTTCGAACTCTGACTTTCTAGTGAATGCCTTTCTAGTGAATGCCTTTCTAGCTTTCAAAAGTCTCTTCAAAATTTTCTAGGTTAAGTTGTACTTGAGTCTGAAGCTTCAAAACTTCTGTTAACTGGTTATATTTTCTATAATGTATACAATTTTATATGTTGTTATAGTATATTATATTTCGTTATCCTGAATGCATACTCCATGACTACATTTTCGTTCGATCTACATACACAAGTTCCTGAATTGTTTTATCCGTGTTGAAAGAAGTCATTCTTTGATACAGTGTTAACGCCCCTCTGGCTCTCAGCACATGATACCATGGTATTGCTATATTTATATTGCATGTAACACTGATCGAAACAAAATGATCATTTCATATGACTTCTATAAATAATGTAATGTTTTGTCGGCTGGCCATTTGATCTGTATGCATAGTATTTATTTGGATAAATTTTTAATGTATGTCTGGTATTATTATTGTTGTGGGAATTATTGTTTTAAATGTTATTTACAGTCCGTATCTCGTTGTTACGTAGAGAAATTCGTTGATCTTTTTCATAAGACATAAAAGATACTCTTTTCATCGATAACTCCCTGCATACGAATACAATCGAATATTTGTTCTTTATACGTGAAAACAAAAATTGGGCAGAGTGTGTCAACGTGTTTGATCTTCCGGATATCCACAGTAAGACTGGAAAGGGGTTCTCGTTGGAATAAAAGGGCCAAACATTGAGGAAGAGCAACTGTTAAACCACATTATACTTATGATAAAATACGTTATTTTTGTGAACAGTGAATCTGATGATGAACCTCGATCCATCCTTCAAGATGTTTATTAAAAATATAGAATACTTTAGAATAAAAAATAAAAAATAAAAATAGGGTTACCTTTGTGACGGTGCCGCATGGGTGTTTGCAAGTGGGTGGGTGAGTGTGTGTGGGAATTTGCGTGTAAAGGTGTGGGTGTGTGTATGTATGCGTGTATGTATGCGTGTATGTATGCGTGTGTAAGTTATTATGTGGGAGGGGAAAGACACATGTATAGTTATTATTTGTTCTTCTTTACTTTCACTTTTAAGATATGGGTTGTTTTCTTATTTTTCAACTACTATATTAAACCAATTCCTTTTTATCACAATAACAGAAGTGTGATTTGTCTATTGTACAAAAAACGTAATAAGAAATCATTTTGTAAATAAGACCTAATGTAACTTTTTACGTGTACCGAATTAGCTGTCAATCATTATATGTCATGTATATTGTACTAAAGAGGTAAAGTATCATTGTAATAAGTCAAATGTAATATAAAACTACAACATTTTGAAGTTTGTACAATTAATGTATTCGATTTTGTTTGTTGAGAGAAAAAGAACAATACCAACAACACAAACAAACCACCAGGGCTTACATTAGAATCAGCTTTGTCTTCGTTTGGAGAATAAATGAAACTCTGTTTTGCTTCAATGAATATTTCATTCATATCTCAGATCATTGATCAGTGATTATATACACCTGATGATTGAAGAATTTATTCGTCAACTCGAAACAAACGATAACGAAATAGAAATTAAAGAAAAAAATAATTGGGAGAAAGAGGGAGAATGAAGATTATAAATGTATTAACAGAAAAAGCTGAATATGATAATATTGTTTTGGGAGAGAAAAAGAAATTTAAAATATTGTAGTGAGAAAGAATTAAATTGATATTGTATTGAGACAGAGAAAGAGAGGTGGTGAGAAATCGATAATATTGTAATGTTTCTTGTATTATTAATAATAATAATAATAATTATAGGCATTTATATAGCGCCGTCTGTCTAGACAATTCTATTCCAAGGTGCACTATTTAATCATTACCCCGTATTGAGTAAGAGAGAGAGAGATGGGAGCGAAAGGATCAGTAATATCGTAATGTTTCTTGTATTTAGTGAGAGTGAGTGAGAGAGGGGAAGATTACTTTTATCTATTTCACTCACATGTTTCATTTTCTAATGTAATTTGACATGATTCGATTCTCTAAGGTCTATGATTTCTACTATTTATATTTATTTTTTTGCTATTCGATAATACAGTTCGGTACAATGTTCTAACATTTTAACAAGAACAGTTATACTAGGGATTTACATTTTCTGTTTTGCCTTTTTTTTCTTTAAACACGGTAATCTACTTTTTCTTCTTCAGAAGTTATATACTTTTAAATGGACACAGAAAATGGAGTCGGGAAATGAAGTCAGGGCCCAACCCACTTCCTTCCTCAGCTCTTTTGTAGACCTTCTCTTCTCCCTGTCTGTCCGTCCCACTCTCTCTCTCTCTCTCTCCCTCTCTCTCTCTTACTCTCTCTCTCTCTCTCTCTCTCTCTCTCTCTCTCTCTCTATATATATATATATAGCACTCTCTTTTTTTACTCTCGATCTATGCGTCTATCTATATTTTTCTCGTGTTTGTTTTCTCTAAACCACTTCTCGCTCTCTCTCTCTCTCTCTCTCTCTCTCTCTCTTTCTCTCTCTTTCGGTCCTCTACCTCTCTATCCCCTATGCCTCCCCTCTCTCTCTCTTTCGGTCCTCTCTCTCTGTATCCCCTATGCCTCCCTCCCTCTCTCTCTCTCTCTCTTTCTCTATTTCGGTCCTCTACCTCTGTTTCCCCTATGCCTCCCCCCCCCCTCTCTCTCTCTCTCTCTCTCTTTCGGTCCTCTATCTCTGTATCCCCTATGCCTCCCTTTTTTTCGGTCCTCTATCTCTGTATCCCCTATGCCTCCCTCTCTCTCTCTCTCTCTCTCTCTTTCGGTCCTCTACCTCTGTATCCCCTATGCCTCCCTCTCTCTCTCTCTCTCTCTCTCTCTTTCGGTCCTCTACCTTTGTATACCCTATGCCTCCCTCTCTCTCTCTCTCTTTCGGTCCTCTACCTCTGTATCCCCTATGCCTCCCTCTCTCTCTCTCTCTCTCTTTCGGTCCTCTACCTTTGTATACCCTATGCCTCCCCCCTCTCTCTCTCTCTTTCGGTCCTCTCTCTCTGTATCCCCTATACCTCCGCCCTCTCTCTCTCTCTCTCTGTCTTCTCTCTCTCTCCCATTCCCCCTCTCACTCCCTCTCTCTCTCTCTCTCTCTCACACACACACACACACGCACGCACACACATACTATGAAGATGCAAAATAAAGACACGGAACACATTAGACCTCAAGATTAATGTAGTTTAATTCTAATTACAAGACATAAGTATCAGTATGAATCTAATCATTATACTAAAAAAACACAACACTCACATCTGCACATCCCCTCCCCCCCCCAACACACATATATGTATGTGGTTTATATACTTATATATAAGAACAAGTACTCAATATTCCCAGAACCCCGGCCAGGGTTGCTCTTCCATATAAAACTTGTTATGTTTTAATGTTTTTTCTGTTGTTGTTATTTTTCTTCTTCAATTGTTTAATCGGATCTTTTCATGCAAGATTCCCAACAAGGTTAATCAATAAGACAAATGTGCCCCAAGGTACCCCATATAACGTTTTAGTGAATCACAAATTTTGTCTGATCTCGTTAAATGTGCATACTATTATATTAAACAAACAATTAAATCCACTTCTCTGGCGATGGACTATCATCGCAGGAGTAATCACGGGATTAATATCTTCACTATAAGAAAGTGTAGCTCCCGAGATCACTGAGGCGATGATAATTAGCTCAACGGCCACGGTAGTGAGTAATGATTATTTGCTTTATTCCACTTTGACAACACTTTTAGGTCTAGTAGATCTAAGTGTCGATCTAACATTGGATTAATTAATGTTCAAGCCACTAGTACATACAGTTCACATATTAAACTAGTTGATTATTATTCCTATTTTATAACCAGGCGAGATGAATGACATTTATCCACCAACAGAACCTTAAAACTTTATTGCAAATGTCACATACATATCTTATATCACATGAATAATAAAATGTTTATGGCCGTCTAAAAAACGCGGGTACTTGTACAAACTGAACCCAAGTTGAATCATTATACAGATAGTGAATGTGTCTGAGTGCAATGGTACAATATTTTGCATTCGGTGAAAGATAATAGACGCTTTATTCAACGAGAAACGAAGTTAATATTGAACTTAATGAAAACGAGGCATTATTTTTCGACAGAATTTTAATAAACGTATTGTTAACGTGTTTGTACATTATTGGAGTTTTATAAAAATCTGATACATTTCAGTGTATTTGGTTTTGCAATAAAATATTTATCGATGAACAAGTTTCTGTCTGAACGAAAGGCAGGGCATATAAAAATGAAACTCATCCCCAAGTGATTGCAAATAACATAGATAGTAAACAACATACATTCTTGGACGAGAATAAAATGTTAACACCCTAATCAGTCTGGTTTTAGACCTAAACATTCAACAGCTACTGCCCTTGCAAAACTGGTAAATCAATGGTCGATGAATATTTGCCTTCATATAGGTCTTCGGAAGGCTTTTGTTACCGTGACCATGAGCTACTTTTAAATAAACTAGCTTGTGTAGGTTGTAGTAATAGGACTATTTATTGGTTAAAATCATATTTAGGTGATCGACAACAAGTGACTCAATTCAAAGGAGCCAAGTCGCATTCATCAACCATCAAATTTGGTGTGCCACAAGTTTAAATTCTTGGTCTCCTTTTATTTTCAATATATGTTAATAGTCTACCTGAATGTAATCCTGAAGGTATCGTAGATAATTATTTATACTGTTACGAATAATTGCATTTCAATTATAGTCAGAATGCTAATTGCATATATTACGTGTTGTTAGGTAGAGCAAGTAATAATGTTTATTCTACCTAGCAACAACTAATGCATGCAATTGGAACCCTGACTATTGAGATACATTTATTCGTAACACGTGGATGAAATGATTCGGATCGAGGCGCTTTAAAGAGTCATGTGCATACATTTCGTTACAGTACGAAATGACCTTTTGAGAAGTATTCGGGACTGTTTCGAGACACACGCGACGACTGTGACTATTTTGAGAGAAGAGTTGTAGCACGAATTTGAGACCATGCTCAAAATTCCAGCGACACGATAAAAGGGACCTGCTATTCACGCGAGGTAATTGATATTTTGGAAACTTCCTCGAGAATGCTATACGAATTTGTCGATATGGGCTCTTAAAGGGACAACTGAGTTTTTGTTTAAGACCGTAATTGACTTCGAAGTGCACGGTTATTGCTCTTATTCCTATTTATGACATTTCAGGTGGCCTTTTGGGGCCTAAAATTGCTATGAAGGTAATTTTAGAGCCCAAAATGTGTGACATTTAGATTAAATCCGATCAAACCAATTCAGCTCCGCTTTAAAAAAAAATACGGTGACCGTTAATTTGACAATTTAATGATCATAAAAATACCCGGGCCGGCTGGTTGTGTATATTATAACCTAACACGAAAAAGCCAACATTGACATTGGCTGGAATAAAACGTATTAGGTGCTATTTCGATCTTTCAACGGCTGGTTCAAAATTATTGAATATTTGTGGGGGCCCCAAAAATGGTTACATTTATGGATTTATTTATTTATTATTTATGATTTTTCATTTAAATTGCATGCTCTTCCGAATTTGACACTCGGTTTTTAGTTATCTCACACAAAAAATATTATGTGTGGGCCCCTCTATGCCAACATTTAATCATCCCTTTAATAGATGACATCTTCACCCCACCCCTTCACTTAATCTCTCTCTCTCTGTTGACGAGTAGGAACTGCGACGGCTGTTTTACTACCCCCTCCCCTTTGCAACTTATGGTCAGTATCTACTCTTTCTTCCTTCCATTTATATTTATAGTGTCTACTGTTTCTCACTACATTGTGTGCGTCCATCTTTTGTTCCAGTATTACTACGACCGCTTGAATACTCTCTTCGAGAAAGAGTCGTCCACAGCGTTGAGTTCTCCATGGATGTTCGCCAGAGTTTCTTCACTCGTTTGTTGGCACCAAATGAAATAAAAATGAAGACGCCTTGGAGACTGATGATGATGACGAAGAGATAGTCCATGAAGGGGACATCGATGACCATAGCTAAGAACCCAAATAACCAGGCGAATCCAAGAAGAGCTGAGATCTATTTACAAATGACGAGAAGGAAGAGAGATCGAGAGAAAGCATGTCTAAAGGAGAGTTCATACCCACTAAAGCATAGTTTGTTTCATGATAAATAGGGATACACACATTTTCCTAAACGTTCGAGCAGTAGAATAAGTCAGTAAAATTTTACTAAAATGTGACATTAATTCTTAGTTCTGATGATAAAACTTTTGATGCGTCGTATCGCCTATAAAGCAAATATTGTAGGAAGGCTAAAAAAAATGGACAGGTGTGAATGCTGCTGGAAAATTACTCTTGAATATTAAATGATAATAATAATAATAATACTAATAACATTTCTCCGAAACCTACCTTGACATATATTCTGAGTTCAACAGCCAATTGTTTGAATTGTGATTCCTGGCCAGGTTTTAGCACCGATGTTGTTTTTTTGGTAGAATGAATTCCATGTACCGTGATGATAAAAAACACGAGATTGGATAGAAGACATACAGACATTGGAACAAAGAACATTACTATGCTAGATAGTTTGGCAAGCCAGCATGTATTACTATCGTATTCCAAGAAAGGACCATTCTGGAATCCTCCGAACTGAAGGACCAAAGTGATCGAGACAAAGACGAGAGGAGTGCCCCATCCAATAACAAGAAAAGCCACCATCTTACGACCAAATGAGCCAGATGAAAATGATTTTATCTTGTTTGCTGCAAAGCTTCGACTCAGGTCCCAAGCAAGGATATTCGTCCAAACAAACGAAGCAAGGAAGAAGAAGTGGGATAACGCAGCAACAACTATAGAAGGTATTCTAAACTGGGAGACTGAAAGACGTATGTACTGAAGAAAGATTTGTCCAAGGAACAAGGCAACAATGAAATTCATTATGGAGACACCCTGACGATTCCGCAAGGTAGAGAAGGAAATGTAAGTTATTAACGTAGCGAAAAGACAAACTGATGATACGGCAAATAGAACATGGCCTATGATCATCAATGTCCTTCTACTAATGGGTGTGACCTGATCAATATAGCAGATGCTTATGGAACTATCGGGATGAATCAGAATGTCCTCTAGGTCGTACATCTGACCTTGATACAGAATAACAGACTGGTTTTCTTGGTAGTCCCATTCAATGGAATCATTGGAAACCGTGAAGAAAGAGCAGGTTTGGAGAGCAATCTCGGTCCCACACACCACAAACTGATACTCTGATGAGACGGTGGCACTGCTGAACTGCATGTTGGTGATATTACTCCACCATTTTGGTCGAATATAAGTTCCATTGAAGAAAATAAAAGACTCGTTGTTGCTAAGAGAAGCCGTAAAATCAAAATTGTGTCCGACAAAAATTTCCTCGGGACAACGATGTGTTATGTTTCCAGGGTTGTCTTCGACAAAACAGGACTGACTAGCTGATATTACCATGTCTTTACATTGGTCGCGGCTAGGAGTTTTAATTCGATGTATGATATCGCTCTGGATTATATCAAGAGATGGGTTCATGCCATCCGTGTAAATCAAACTGAATGTTATGGCATTATTAACCACGTCTGTTGAAGACCTAACTAGACAAGGTGGCGGAGCTGTTAAAGTTAGTGTGGTATTATCTATGGTCACCTCCCTGAAACAAACCATCTCTTTTAAACACTCTTCAGATCCGTTATTTTGTTTGACCCCAAAATGTTTGGATTGACAGACGGGCCAATCAGATGATATCGGAGCGCAGTTACCATTGTCATCCAACTCGAATCCGTCTATACATTGTGATTGTATTATTGGGTCGGGGTAGTCAATACGAAAAATATCAATTGCGCCTTCTAATGGTACTGTAATCACTTCATCGATACATATCAAGGAACCTCCATTGCAATAACTGCATGCAGGATGCTTACTTACAACACCTTCAACAATGAATGGTTTGTAATAATACTGACACTCGCGGGCTACCTCTTCGTCTGTCCCGTTCGGACAACTTCCCGATGTATTCACGAGACAAAGTCGAGGTTTGGGAATGGTTCGAACCGAAGGCATGATATTAGATCCGCTGATATTCAGCGAAACGTTGGACTGTGATGTGGGCATTAGTTTCATGCATTCAAGAGTATAATTATCTCCCCACCAACATTGTTGGTCTGCTGAAATGACAACAGCTGTCAACGAACTTTCTTCATACCCATGGCAAGAAGCACAATCTAGGTTTCTGAAGTACGTGTCCTGGTAGATATAAAGAACATCTATAGTTGCATTGGGAGAAACCTCTTCACAGTTTCGTTTGACATCCTCCTCTAAAGACCATCCTGATGGGCACCTAGCAATCATCCTGTATCCATGTCCGAGGCGTGGGTCGAATTGAGGAAGGAAAGAATCAACGATACATTCCCATACGTCAAGGTCTAATAGCGTCTCGTTTGGTAAAGCCTTGTTTGATAGAATCTCGTCTGATAGAGTCTCGTTTGATCCTGTCTCGTTGAAAATTGTTAGAGGGTAGTCTGGACAGCAATCACCAAAGAATTGACACATATCATCGCATCTACATACAGTCGTTTCCTCGCCACCAAAACATGATTCCGCCAAGCATGTGTTATCTGCATACTGATATGAATCCATATTTTCTGTGAAAATAAACGGTATAGAAGATATCGTGATTATTCATACGATTTATCGTTTATAGGGTAACCTTTCTTTATGAAAGGTGTATCCCACGTTATGAAAATGTTGTTCTCATGTTAATCACAATGGACAAACAATGACCGGATCTGTTACTGACTTCTAGTCTTATTGCTTCGGAGGCACTGGTTTATCAAGACTACTGGTGCTACGTCATTTATTGTAATACGAAATATGATACTGAGTAATAAAAACAAATGATATGCAATATTAGTTGATACATTTGGTCGATATTCACCATTTTACAGATTAACATAATCAATGTAGGTCTAATCATATCAATCAACATGATTATTTGATTAGTATGAAATACAAGCTGAGTAGGCTAATGTATGATATATCAAGCTGGGCCTATTTTTAGTTGTCAACTAACTATGTATTATTGCCTATGTATTTAGTCGGCAACTAGCTTAGTACGGTCTTATGAATATGAGCAAAATTCGAGCTGACTGAAATGAACCATTTCGTCGACATACTCTCCAAGACCACCATACACGATACAGACATCATGGTCAGTTTAGATGTTGAATCTCTCTTCACCAATGTTTCTGTCACCGAATCCTGCCGAATCGTCAAACAACGCCTCGAAGCTTCTCTCTCACATGGTGCACCCGCAAGCCTACTGTATATTTAGCTTAGTAAGGTCTTAAGAATATGAGCAAAATTCGAGCTGACTGAAATGAACATGTTTCTTCGTGTTAAACTATTATTTATAATCCAGCACATTCAAGATGTGGCTGTCACACACGGATCAGAGAATCCGATGCATTTTGCATCTGGTTATTTATCCAATATATCATTTTTTTCTCCAGTGATTATCAATATTCTGTTTTTACCTTCGCTCGAGTCAATATTACTCATGTCCAGAAAATCACTTGATGAAGAAGAAGAAGAGTCCGTGATATAGTCTGAAATACAAACAGGAAATGATATTACCAAACCAAAATATATGACTATTCAAAAGTCTTTAGTGCGATTGTATTAACTAACTATGTATTATTGCCTAATAATAGTCGACAACTAGCTGAGTAAGGTCTTATGAATATGAGCAAAATTCGAGCTGACTGAAATGAACATGTTTCTTCGTGTTAAACTATTATTTATAATCCAGCTCATTCAAGATGTGGCTGTCACACACGGATCAGAGAATCCGAAGCATTTTGCATCTGGTTATTTATCCAATATATCATTTTTCCCCCAGTGATTATCAATATTCTGTTTTTTACCTTCGCTCGAGTCAATATTACTCATGTCCAGAAAATCACTTGATGAAGAAGATTCCGTGATATTGTCTGAAATACAAACAGGAAATGATATTACCAAACCGAAATATATGACTATTCAAAAGTCTTTAGTGCGATTGTATTAACTAACTAACTATGGACTTATCGAAAGCATTCGATATTACCAAACCGAAATATATGACTATTCAAAAGTCTTTAGTGCGATTGTATTAACTAACTAACTATGGACTTATCGAAAGCATTCGATATTACCAAACCGAAATATATGACTATTCAAAAGTCTTTAGTGCGATTGTATTAACTAACTAACTATGGACTTATCGAAAGCATTCGATATTACCAAACCGAAATATATGACTATTCAAAAGTCTTTAGTGCGATTGTATTAACTAACTAACTATGGACTTATCGAAAGCATTCGATACCATGGACCATCGTATATTAATACATAAATTAAAAGCATATGGAGTTAGAGGGATTGTACTTTCTTGGTTTGAAGACTATTTGCGTAATAGACATCAATATGTTATGTTTAAATCTACAACATCTAATTCCACCATAGAATGCGGAGTACCACAAGGCTCCATATTAGGTCCCCTACTGTTTTTAGTATATATGAATGATATTGTTAATGCATCACCACTCCTCACATATGTTCTGTTCGCAGACGATACCAACGTATTTTATTCGCATAAAGACTTAAACATTCTTATTACAACCCTCAATTTAGAACTAAATAAATTATCATCTTGGTTCAAATCCAATAAACTCTCTTTAAATATTAATAAGACTAATTGTATTTATTTCAAAAACATACACTCTAAACATGTACTTCATTATGATATTTTTAAAGATAACATGCCCATAATTGAAAAAGAAGTTACAAAATTCTTAGGTGTAATGATTGATTCAAACCTAACTTGGAATAGTCATATTAACAACATTTGCATGCTAGTCTCGAGAAGCATAGGCATTTTATATAAATTAAAATATTATCTATCACAAAAGTCACTATTTATGCTTTACAATTCCTTCATTTTGTCATACATATCTTATTGTAACATAGTTTGGGGCAATAGTAGTAAGATGAAAATTATGTTAATATATCGTCTCCAAAAGAAAGCACTTCGTCTTTGTACACATTCACATTATTTAGCCCATACTGATCCAATATTTTGTAAACTAAAAACATTAAAAATCGCTGACATTCACAGTTTTCAAACTGCAATCTTTATGTATAAATGTTGGATAAATACTATACCTTTGGCATTTCGAAATATTTTTGTTTACAATAGTGATATACATTCTTATCCCACACGACACTCATCTGATTTCCACTTAACAAACCCCAAAATTATTATGGCCTATAAATCGATAAGACATCATGGTCCAGACATTTGGAATGCTTTACCTGACAATATTAAACACTCTGCAACTCTTTATTCATTCAAAGCATCGATGAAAAAATATTTAATATCTACATATTCAAAAACATCATAAGGGTCTCAGAGGTTTTGATTGTTTATTTAAATTAATTTTAGATGACCAGTTCATTAACAATACGAATCGAACACTTACTTCACCTGCACACACCCACTTGCACAAACTTGCACATTTTTCTTCTTTTTTCTTTTTTCTTAATTTCTTTCCACTTTTTATTCAGATACTTTCTGAACAAAATCTTTATATGTGACTCTCTATTCCCCTACATTCTCCTAAAAACAGCGCCATGTACCCCCCCCCCCCCCCCTTCCCGGCTGCTATCGCCTCAAGCTTCTTTGCTTATGATAGTTGGCCTCTGCATTTATGTTGATTATTTTTTACTTACCTCCATACTTTCAAGCTTTAATTTTTTTATTTTTTTTTAAATATTTTATTTTGTGTGTATTAAGTTGTCACTCTTGATGTAAATCAATTATATTATATACTATTATTGTTATTTGAATGTTTTATATTTGATTTATCAATAAATGCAGAAACATCTGCTAAAAAAAAAAACTATGTATTATTGCCTAATAATAGTCGACAACTAGCTTAGTAAGGTCTTATGAATATAAGCAAAATTCGAGCTGACTGAAATGAAGCATTTCGTCGACATACTCTCCAAGACCACCAAACACGATACAGACATCATGGTCAGTTTAGATGTTGAATCTCTCTTCACCAATGTTCCTGTCACCGAATCCTGCCGAATCGTCAAACAATGCCTCGAAGCTGACGACAACATCCCCGACAGAACTCCCCTGACACCGGATGAAATACACGACCTTACGTACTTCTGCCTCAACTAAACTTCCTTCAAATGGCGAGACAATTATTACTACCAGCAACGTCCAGGCGCAGCCATGGGATCGCCTCTTTCACCGGATATAGCCAACATCTTCATGGAGCACTTCGAAACAACGTCACTTCAGACTCTCTTACAACGCCCTTCTCTCTGGCTCCTATATGTCGACGACACATTCGTCATTTGGCCACATAGCAGACGTGACTTAGACCACTTCCTCGCCCACAACAACCAGCATCACCCGAGCATCAAATTCACCATGGAGACCAAGCAAAACAACAGCATCCCCTTCCTAGACGTCCTCTTTACCAAATTGTCATCCGGCAAGCCCGCTTACCAAGTCTACAGGAAACTCCAACACAACGATAGATATCTTCACTACAGATCCGTCCACCATCCATCCGTACTACAATCAGTCCCAAACGCCCTCATCCGCCAAGCCCATCAACTCAGGGATGCCGACCATCTAGACCATCTGGAAATCCAGCAAGACATAAGATCAAGTCCAGGACTCCCGCCAGCAAGCCCGCAGCCAACACCATCCCTGAAGAGAACCAACCGCAGCTACACCACCGAAACAAACTGTTGTTCTACCCTATATCGGTCAAGCCTATCACAAGATTCAACGTATCCTTCAAGCAGCAGACATCCAAGTTCGACAAAGTTGCTCCAACAAACTCCATTCGATACTCCACTCCCACAAAGATAAGCATCCAAACCACAAGAAAGCTGGAGTCTTCAAAATACCATGCGAATGTGGGAAAGTCTACATTGGTGAAACGGGAAGAAATCTGGAAACAAGACTCAAGGAGCACAGAACCAGCTTCAGACTCATGCAGCGACTGGGATAAGTCCGCCATCGTCAAACTAGCCCAGCAACACGAACACACAATCGAATGGGATAACAGTCATCTCATCTCCATAAAGAAGAACTGGCATGCAAGCCGAATCCGAGAAGCCATCTAAATTCACCGCCACAATACAGTGCCCCAAGACTCAAGATTATACATCAACGGCATCTGGAAACCCCTCATACACAAGTACCCGGTCACTCCTCCTCTACCACCGCCTCCATCACCGCCTTCACCACCCTCGCAGACACCTGTACATTAACCATCGCCACCCGCCGAACCCTCTAAGCAGCCACCAGCCTCCCAGCTAATGCACAGCAGACGACAGCAGACTACAACGCCGCCTACGTCGGGGACACACACAACGTCTCGCCCACAGCACACCCCACTCATGGATTCGAACCTCTCCTAAGTCCGCAACCCGGAGACTCCAGCCCAGACGGACAAGCAGACGGACAGGCAGACCACCCATGTCCACTCCCCATGACTCAAGCCCACACGGTCATGTATATTTTCCCCACGTCCGCACCGCGGTGACTTAAGCTCACGCACCCAAGCTATTCTCCACTCCTGACGACGGGTAGTCAACCTGTTCGAAACGTCGAGCCACTCCCGCCACCCATCCTCTCCAAGCTCTCCTTAGAAATATAAGTTAAGAATGATAACCAACAGTCATTTTCAAGACTAAACCGACAGTCCTTTTCAGGACTTCACACCCTCAAGAACGATTACCGAGAGTCCTTTTCAGGACTCCTCAATCCTCCCTCTCTCTCTCACATGGTGCACCCGCAAGCCTACTGTATGTTTAGCTTAGTAAGGTCTTAAGAATATGAGCAAAATTCGAGCTGACTGAAATGAACATGTTTCTTCGTGTTAAACTATTATTTATAATCCAGCACATTCAAGATGTGGCTGTCACACACGGATCAGAGAATCCGAAGCATTTTGCATCTGGTTATTTATCCAATATATCATTTTTTTTTCTCCAGTGATTATCAATTTTCTGTTTTTACCTTCGCTCGAGTCAATATTACTCATGTCCAGAAAATCCCTTGATGAAGAAGAAGAAGATTCCGTGATATAGTCTGAAATACAAACAGGAAATGATATTACCAAACCGAAATATATGACTATTTAAAAGTCTTTAGTGCGATTGTATTAACTAACTATGTATTATATACCTCACTTAAGTAATCCAGCAATCTGATTGGTCGAAATTGCATTCATAAACTTTAACTGTTCCCGAAAATTCCCGGTAACCATGGTTAAAAAACAGTTCAAAATCCCAATAACCATGGTTATTGGGAAAATAGGTCAGTCTCCATGGTTACCCCATAGGTTTACATGTTAAAAAATGGTCTGAGCGATCGAGGATACCGTACGTGTGCGAAGAATTGGTCGATAATTTCAATACAATTGAATCTCGATCGATCTTACCGATAATTTTATCTTGCATATTGACATTAAGACGAAAATAAACTTCCAAAAACAAAAAAACAACATCTGCCGATAGATCTTGATCTAAATTCGTGCCAATATGCATTGCAAAAGTAAAAGAAGGGCCTGTTTAATGGAGCAGCTGCGAAGCTTCCACCACGCGAAGCCGTTTTCAATCCATTTTAATGTATATATAAGGGAAAAAAATGCTGTGTATGGTAACAGAGCGCGATAGCCGAGCGGTTTAAGGCGGCGGTTTTCGTTACATCACCTTTGGCACGCAAGAGATCGAATCCCATCTTTGACAAAAGTTTTTTTTTTTTCTTTTTTTTTTGGCATATAAAAGTATTAATGACTGCTTTGAGAGAAATAGTTGTTTTTATACGCTCTCGGGAAGGTAACAATTGGGCTATTGCCCTCGGCACGCCTCGGGGCAATAGCACAATTCTAACCTTCCCTTGAGCGTATAAAAACAACTATTTCTCTCAAAGCAGTCATTAATACTATATTATTGCCTAATAATAGTCGACAACTAGCTTAGTACGGTCTAATGAATATGAGCAAAATTCGAGTTGACTGAAATGAACATGTTTCTTCGTGTTGAAGAATTCTTTATAATCCAGCACATTCAAGATGTGGCTGTCACACACGGATCAGAGAATCCGAAGCATTTTGCATCTGGTTATTTATCCAATATATCATTTTTTTCTCCAGTGATTATCAATATTCTGTTTTTACCTTCGCTCGAGTCAATATTACTCATGTCCAGAAAATCACTTGATGAAGAAGATTCCGTGATATAGTCTGAAATACAAACAGGAAATGATATTACCAAACCGAAATATATGACTATTTAAAAGTCTTTAGTGCGATTGTATTAACTAACTATGTATTATTGCCTAATAATAGTCGACAACTAGCTTAGTAAGGTCTTATGAATATAAGCAAAATTCGAGCTGACTGAAATGAAGCATTTCGTCGACATACTCTCCAAGACCACCAAACACGATACAGACATCATGGTCAGTTTAGATGTTGAATCTCTCTTCACCAATGTTCCTGTCACCGAATCCTGCCGAATCGTCAAACAATGCCTCGAAGCTGACGACAACATCCCCGACAGAACTCCCCTGACACCGGATGAAATACACGACCTACGTACTTCTGCCTCAACTTCCTTCAAATGGCGAGACAATTATTACTACCAGCAACGTCAAGGCGCAGCCATGGGATCGCCTTTTTCACCGGATATAGCCAACATCTTCATGGAGCACTTCGAAACAATTAACGTCACTTCAGACTCTCTCACAACGCTCTTCTCTCTGGCTCCTATATGTCGACGACACATTCGTCATTTGGCCACATAGCAGACGTGACTTAGACCACTTCCTCGCCCACAACAACCAGCATCACCCGAGCATCAAATTCACCATGGAGACCAAGCAAAACAACAGCATCTCCTTCCTAGACGTCCTCTTTACCAAATTGTCATCCGGCAAGCCCGCTCACCAAGTCTACAGGAAACTCCAACACAACAATAGATATCTTCACTACAGATCCGTCCACCATCCATCCGTACTACAATCAGTCCCAAACGCCCTCATCCGCCAAGCCCATCAACTCAGCGATGCCGACCATCTAGACCATCTGGAAATCCAGCAAGACATAAGATCAAGTCCAGGACTCCCGCCAGCAAGCCCGCAGCCAACACCATCCCTGAAGAGAACCAATCCGCAGCTACACCACCGAAACAAACTGTTGTTCTACCCTATATCGGTCAAGCCTATCACAAGATTCAACGTTTCCTTCAAGCTGCAGACATCCAAGTTCGACAAAGTTGCTCCAAGAAACTCCATTCGATACTCTACTCTCACAAAGATAAGCATCCAAACCACAAGAAAGCTGGAGTCTACAAAATACCATGCGAATGTGGAAAAGTCTACATTGGTGAAACGGGGAGAAATCTGGAAACAAGACTCAAGGAGCACAGAACCAGCTTCAGACTCAGCGACTGGGATAAGTCCGCCATCGTCAAACACGCCCACGACCGACGACAGACAAGTCTTGCACATGCATTTTGGACTCTTTGTAACTTAGCTATCAGAGAATCAGGCATTCCAAACAGCAACCCATTACAATAATCATGCTTACTTGTGATAAGAGCATGTACAACCAATTTCATACTTTCTTGATCAAAATATTTGCGGATACGTCAGAGATTTTACAGAAGATAGTATGTTAATTTGCATATATTTTCAACATGTGTTTCCATGTTCAAATCAGTATCAAAGTATACTTCTAAATTCCTTGCTGTAACAGAGGGTATCACATTGAAGGATCCAACTCTTACACTTTCAATGCTTATTTTTTTAGATCTGTTGTGGAGTTCCTATAACCACAAATTCACTCTTACTATCGTTTAGCTTATCTATGAATAAAATTAACACATTTTTCCAACATTGAAACACTTGCATCTTGAAAAAATTAATGTGACAAGAAATAATTTTGGAAATAAGACCTACTGTGCCTTTCCTACGCGTACCAAAATAATAGCTGATTCTAATGTTATCCCGATTGTTTTAGTTTTTGAGTTGGTATTGTTCTTTTTCTCTCAACAAACAAAATCGAATACATTAAAGATAAACTTGAGTTCTGGTAAACAAAAAACATGCTACATGATCAACTTTTTCTGATCAATTCCACACCTTTTCTTTCACAATGCAATCGCATGACCAGAACTCAACTTTATCTTTAATTGTACAAGTTTCAACATATTGTAGTTAAATATCACATTTGACTTAATACAATGAAAATTAACTTCTTCAATATAATATACATGATATGTAAGTGATATACCCTCGTCTGTAGAATAGATCAAACTCTGTTTTGCTTCAATGAATAAATCTGTTATGTCTCAGATCATTGATTGCTGATCATATACATCTAATGATTGAAATATTCATTCGTCAACGTGTGATATAAACATTTCTTTCTAATCTTAGTTTTATTCTAAAACAGTTTCATATGCATTTAATATATTGTTGTATTTTGACAAAATTGTTATAGTAATTACAAAAAAAATGAAAACAAAGAAAGAGAGAGATAGAAAATTGTCATTGTACTGAAAGAGAGAGCTTAGCATGATAATATTGTTTGTAGAGAGAGGTAAATTTGTTAATATTGTATTGAGAAAGGAATAAATAATTATTGTAATGAAACAGAGAGATAGAGAGGTTGCGGTGAACTTGATAATATGTTACTGTTTCTTGTATTGAGTGAGAGAAAGGGAGAAAGGTGGGAGCGAAAAGGATGATATTGTAATGTTTCTTGTATTGAGTAAGAGAGAGAGAGAGAGAGAGATTGCTTTCATCGGATTCATTCACATGTTTATTTTTTTAAGATTTAATTTGACATGATTCGCTTCTGTTACTCTAATTCTATTTTGTTTGCATAATGGTGTTTTCAATTTGATATTACAGTTCTGTATATTGTTCTAAAGATAACAGGTTTACCAGGGATTTATATTTTCTGTGTTGCTTTTGTTTTCTACCAACACGGTAATCTAATTTTTCTTCTTCTGAAGTAATATACTTTTCAATGTAAACTGAAGGTGGAGTCGGAAAATAAAGTCAGTGCCCATACATGTTTTCTTTCTTAGCCCTTTTGTAGACCTTCTCTTCTCTCTGTCTGTCCGTCTCTTTCTTTCTCTCTTTCACTCTATCTCTCTCCCACCCCCTCTCTCTCTCTCTCACTCAAAGAAATTGACTTTACAGAGGCAAAATAACGGAACATGTTAGACCTCAAAATGTAGTTTAATTCGAATTACGAGACATAAGTATCGGTATGAATCTAGTTATTATACAAACACAAAACACACGCTCACGTGTCCACACACCCCAAAACATGTGTGTGGTATATACACATATATATAAGAATAAGTATTCAATATTCCCAGAACCCAGGGTTGCCTCTTCCATACAAAAATGTCTCACGTACGTACGATTCTAATAGGTTGAAATTAAGTTTAAGTTTGATGATTTAATTTTTTTTTTTTAATAATTGTTAATCGGATCTTTTCATGCGAGATTAACAACAAGGCTAGCCAACAAAACAGATAGCACTTATAATAACGTTTGAGTGAATCACAGATTTTGTCAGATCTCGTACAATATACATATTATCATATATTACATGTATTAAACACACAATTATACCCTCTTCTCTTGCGGTGGGGCATGCTATCGTCGCAGAAGTAATCTCGGTGTTGCTATCTACACTAAGAAAATGTAGCTCCCGTGATCATCGAGGCGATAATATTTATCCCACCGGCCACAGTATTCAGTAATGACTATTTTGCTTCATTTTACACTTCGACAACACTTTTAAGTTTAGTAGATCTAGGTCTCGATTTAACATTGGATTAATTAACGTTCATTACACTAGTGCATACCGTTCACATAAACGAGTTAATTGTTATTCATACTTTATAATCAGACTAGATGAATGAGGAAAAACATTGATCCATCAACAGTACCCTGATCTTTATTGTAAATGCCACAAATATATCTAATAACATGAATAATAAAAATGTTCATGGCCGTCTAAAAATGCGGGTATTTCGTACACACTGATCAGAAGTTGAATCAAATACATTATCAATTTGGCATCAGCTCCCTTTTTTGCGAGGGGGGAGGAGGGGTTCAGGTATGCTCTGTATAGGGGAGATGGTATAGCAGTCATCGTCCCCCAAGTGTCGGCCCTAAAGGTAGTTCCCACTTAACTGCCACAGCTCGTGACCAGCAGGAGATACAGAATGTGTCGTGTGCCATTCCCCCCCCCCCCCACTCCGAGAACGGACGGACCCCATGCGTGTTACCAAAATGTCCTTTTCGTAACAAAAGAAAAAGGTCGACCCGTATTGACTTTACACACCGGACTTTTGCTGAAAGGGGGGGGGGGCTGAAAAAGGCTCGTATAACAAAAGAAAAAGGTCGACCCGTATTGACTTTACACACCGGACTTTTGCTGAAAAGAGGGGGGGGGGGGTCGTTTGGAACAAGCATATGAGTACCCTAAATAACACTGAGTGGGGGGAGGGGGGCGGTGTGCCATTCGTGCGAATGTCGTTCATTTTGGGGGTCAGCGATTTAGTCTCAAAGCGTCTTAGATATCAACATTTGTACAGAATTAGTTATTTTGAACCGCAATTTGAATGCACTAACAGGGCATCTCGCACCAGGAATGGCAGATTATTATTTTTGTCAAGTTTATTTCCAATACGTCACAATTTAATTATTAGGTTGCCAACTGGAATCCCTCACAAAGTTGTCTCACTTTCTCGCACTTTCTTATACTCGGAAACAAATAAACAAATTCGTAATGTAACCAAATGTAGGCATATGCCTTTGTGAAGCGCCTCGATACGAAGTATTTCATTCACGTGAAATGTTACGAATAATTGTATTTCAATTATAATCAGAACGCAAATTGCATATTCGTTGTGTTGCTAGATAGGGTAAGCCATAATGTTTGTTCTACCTAGCAACAACTGATGTATGCAATTGAAATCCCTGACTATTGAGATACATTTATTCGTATCGAGTCACTTAAAAAAAAACATATGACATTGCATTCATTTCGTTACATTACGAAAATGACCTATTGAGAAGTGGTCGGGACGGTTTCGAGACACACGCGACGACTGTGACTATTTAGAAAGAAGATTTGTGAGATAATTTCTATTTTTAGAAACTCCCTTGCGAATGCTATTCGAATTTGTCGCAACTTCGCAAGATACGAGCTCTTAAAGGAACAGTTGGGTTTTCGTTTAAGACCGCAATTAAGACCTTCGAAGTGCCCGGTTATGATTGCTCTTATTCCTATTTATGACATTTCGAGTCCCCCTTTGGGGCCTAAAATTGCTATGAAGGTAATTTTAGACCCCAACCTGTGTGAAATTTAAATTTAATCCGATCATACCAATTCAGCTCCGCATTTAAATAAATTACGGTGACTGCTAATTTAATAATAATAACAATACACGGGCCGGCTGGTTGTGCATATTATAACCTAAGATGATAAAGCCAACATTGGCATTGGCTGGAAGTAAACGTATAAGGCGCTATATCGTTCTTTCAACGGCTGTTCAAAATTATTGAATATTTGTGGGGTCCCAAAAATGGTTAAATTTATTAATATTTTAGCCGTCTTTTATACGATTTTGATCAAACAAAGATGATTTGGTTAATGAAATTGTATGCTCTTTCAAATTAGACACATTACCTGACACACACAAATATTTTGTGTAGCGCCCTCTATACCGAAAACTCAACACTCCCTTTAATCGATAATATCTTCACGCCACCCCTTCACTTACTCCCTCTCTCTGTGTTGACGAGTATGAACTGCACCTGCCGTTTTACTACCCTTTCCCCTTTAGCAACTTACGGTCAGTATCTGCTCCTTCTTCCTTCCATGTATATTTAATAGTGTCTAATGTTTCTCACTACATTGTGTGCGTCCAACTTGTGTTCCAGTACTACAACGAGCGCTTGAAAACTCTCTCCGAGACAGCCTGAGTCGTCCACATCCATGAATTCTGCGAAGATGTTCGCCAGAGTTTCTTCACTCGTTTGTTGGTACCGAATGAAATAAAAATGAAGACGCCTTGGAGACTGATGACGATGATGAAGAGATAGTCCATGAAGGGGACATCGATGACCATAGCTAAGAACCCAAATAACCAGGCGAATCCAAGAAGAGCTGAGATCTATAACAAATGACGAGAAGGAAGAGAGATCGATTGAAAGCATGTTTGAAGAAGAGTTCATTTGTACCCATTAAGCAATATACTTGTAATGAGAATTTCTTTAAAGGTAGGAGAAAAAAATCAGAGGCGGTAGAGAGAGAGATAGAGGGTGATGTGGGGGGGGGGGGGAGGTAGATAGTGCAATATATTGGACGGTTGTTTCCTATTATTGTACATGCTTCGAAATGAGGAAAAAAAAACATTATAGGCCTATATTCATGTATGAAAAAAGAAATGGCCACTCAATTCGTAATTTTGTCTACATATTTTGTTTCACATGTTTATCATTGTTATACTATTGTTATATTGATACTATGTTGTAAATATGTAAGTACTCTCATACCCCAAGAGGGGATCGATAGAGTCAATAAAATCTTACAATCTTACAATCTTACAGAGACACCAAGTTTCTCCAAAATGTTCGTGCAGTAGCATAAGAAGGTTAAATGTTGCTCATATGTGAAATTAGTTCTGATGATAAAACTCTTCATGCGTCGTACAGAGCATATAACGTAGGAGGGCTTGAAAAGAAAATGGGCAAGTGAGAATTTTGCTGGATAATAATGTTGAATATTTAATGAAAATAACAATAAAAACGATAGTGGTATTTATAATAATACAAATTGTATCGAATAAAAGGACGATATGACATAGAAAAGAAACATATTGTAAAGAGAAACATAAAACTCTTAAAATAGGTTAAATCAAATAGGGGAAAAGTATGTTTCAGGGGGTCTCTTGAAAGTGGCAGGACAGGTTAAATCTCTGATGGAAAGAGAAATACTGTTTAACGTTTTCTAAGCAGCCACTGTAAAAATGTTTTTCGAAACCTACCTTGACATATATTCTGAGCTCAACAGCCAATTGTTTGAATTGTGATTCCTGGCCAGATTTTAGCACCGATGTTGTTTTCTTGGTAGAATGAACTCCATGTACCGTGATGATAAAAAACACGAGATTGGATAGAAGACATACAGACATTGGAACAAAGAACATTACTATGCTAGAAAGTTTGGTAAGCCAGCATGTATTACTGTCGTATTCCAAGAAAGGACCATTCTGGAATCCTCCGAACTGAAGTACCAAAGTGATCAAGACAAAGACGAGAGGGGTGCCCCATGCAATGACAAGAAAAGATACCATCTTACGACCAAATGAGCTAGATGAAAACGATTTCATCTTACTTGCTGCAAAGCTTCGACTCAGGTCCCAAGCAAGGATAGTAGTCCAAACAAACGAAGCAAGGAAAAAGAAATGGGACAACGCAGCAACAACTATACAAGGTATTCTAAACTGGGAGACTGAAATACTTACGTACTGAATCAAAATTTGTCCGAGGAACAAAGCAACAATGAAATTCATTATGGATACACCCTGACGATTCCGCAAGGTAGAAAATGCAATATAAGTAATCAACGTAGCAAAAAGACAAACTGATGATACGGCAAACAGAACATGTCCTAGGATTATCAATGTCCTTCTACTAATGGGTGTGACCTGATCAATATAGCAGATGCTTATGGAACCATCGGGATGAATCAGAATGTCCTCTGTGTCGTACATCTGACCTTGATACAGAATAACAGACTGGTTTTCTTGGTAGTCCCATTCAATGGAATCATTGGAAACCGTGAAGAAGGAGCAGGTTTGGAGAGCAATCTCGGTCCCACACACCACAAACTGATACTCAGATGAGACGGTGGCACTGCTGAACTGCATGTTGGTGATATTACTCCACCATTTTGGTCGAATATAAGTTCCATTGAAGAAAATAAGAGATTCGTTGTTGATAAGAGAAGCCGTAAAATCCAAATATTGTCCAACAAACATTTCCTCGGGACAACGATATGTAATGTTTCCAGGGTTATCTTCGACATAACAGGACTGACTAGCTGATATTACTATGTCCTTGCAATCGTCTCGGCTAGGAGTTTGAAGTTGATGTATGATGTCTCTCTGGATTATATCAAGAGATGGATTCATGTCATCCGTGTAAATCAAATTGAATGTTATAGTATTATTAACCACGTCTGTTGAAGACCTTACTAGACAAGGTAGTGGAAGTATTAAAGATGTTGTAATATTGTCTATGGTCACCTCCCTGAAACAAAACATCTCTTCTAAACACTCTACAGTTCCGTTACTTTGTTTGACTCCAACATTTTTGGAATGACAGACGGGCCAATCAGATGATATCGGAGCGCAGTTACCATTGTCATCCAATTCAAATCCTTCTATACATTGTCTTATTAGGTCGGCGTAGTCAAAATGAAAAACTTCAAGGATGCTGAATGTTGTGCCCTTCCGTTCATCGATACACATCATGGAACCTCCACTGCAATTACTGCATGCAGGATGCTTACCTACAACACCTTCACTAATGAATGGTTTGTAATAATACTGACACTCGCGGGCTATCTCTTCATTTGTCCCGTTTGGACAACTTCCAGTTGTATTCACGAGGCAAAGTCGAGGTTTCGGAATAGTTTGAACAATATGCATATCTATATCACATCCGCTGATATTCATCGAAACGTTGGACTGTAATGTGGGCATTGGTGTCATGCATGCAAGAGTATACTCATATCCCCACCAACATTGTTGGTCTGCTGAAATGACAACAGCTGTCAAAGAACTTTCAGTATACCCATGGCAAGTAGCACAACCCAGGTTTCTAAAGTATATGTTGTTGTAGATATAAAGAACATCTATAGTTGCATTGGGAGAAACCTCTTCACAGTTTCGTTTGACATCCTCCTCTAAAGACCATCCTGATGGGCACCTAGCAATCATCCTGTAACCATGTCCGAGCTCTGGGTAGAAGAGTGGAAGAAAAGTATCAACGATACATTCCCATACGCCAATGTCTAATAGCGTCTTTTTTGATAGAGCCTCGTTTGAAAGAGTCTCATTTGATCCTGTCTCGTTTGACCGAGTCCCGTTGGAAATTAGTACAGGATAGTCTGGACAGCAATCACCGAAGAATTGACACATATCATCGCATCTACATAAAGTTTCCTCGCCATCAAAGCATGATTCGTTAAAGCATGTGTTATCTGCATACTGATATGAATCCATGTTTTCTGTGGAAATAAGAGGTTATTAAGAAGATATCATAATCATTAATAATAATAATAATAATAATAATAAATCACATTTATAACGCGCCTAATACATTGTTTCTAGGCGCAGTGGTGCTGTTGTCCCAGCAGCCATTAAGTGAAGCAATATCCTTACACGAAATAAAGCCGGGACGACAGCACCACAAGTACACAAGTCATTCATACGATTTATCGTGTATGAAGAAAATTTCATACTGTTTTAATAGAGGTTTATTGCTTATCATCAAAATGTTGTCTGGTTAATCACAATGGACAAACAAAGACCGGATCTGTAACTGACTCCTAGTCTTATTGCTTTGGTGGTACTGGTTTACCAAGGCGACTGGTGCTCCAAGAAACTTTAAGATAGCATTACTTGTTGTAAAGATAATGAAGATAATGAGAATTAATAAAGAAATGAAATGCAATACTAGTCGATAAATTTGGTCGATATTCACCACTTTACAGATTAACATATTCTATGTAGATCTAATCATAGCAATGAAAAGGAATATTTGATTAATATGAAATACACATATAATAGGGAAGCTGAGTAGGCTAATGTATGATATATCAGTCTGGGCCTTTTACTTTGTATTATGGCCTATGTATTTAGTTGACAACTAGCTTAGTAAGGTTTTATGAATATGAGCAAAATTCAAGCTGACTGAAATGAACATGTTTCTTCATGGTAAACTATTCGTTATGATCCATCAGATGTGGCTGTCACACCGGATCAGAGAATCCGAAGCATTTTTCATCTGATATTTTATCCAAGATATCCCAATGTATCCTTTTTATAAATTCATTATCAATATTCTATTTTTACCTGCAGATGAACTGATAAAAGTGTTGTCACGTGATGAAGAAGAAGCCGTCATATTGTCTGAAATACAAACAGAAAATAATATTACCATACCGAAATTTAAGACTATTAACATTCTTGTATATACGATTGGATTATATAATGTACTCTTCCTCCCATCCAAATATCCCAGAGTTACTCTCAAAAATATATTGATTGGTTTCAAGCACTCTGCTGCCTATTTAATGGTTAAAAATACCTTTCTGATTTAAAGCAATTTGAAGGAAGGAAACCAAAAAGTCATTTGGCGGGCGGTATCTGAATTTTGACGAAAAATTCACATTTCTAGAAAGTTCATTTTCTGCTATTTTATATTGCATCAAATGAAAGAGGAGGATCTAAGCTTTTTAAATATGTGTCATTTATTAATTATTATTGTGATTAAGTTATGATAAAACATCGATAGTTCTCGGTTTCGTTTTTTCTGGGTCGCACTGTATAAAGCTATTAATGAAAGCTGCTGCAGATAGTTTATCAATTACCTGTATAGTTTCCTGGAGTATAAACTTCGATGTTCATCCTAAACCCAAGCTCTGTAACTGAAACATCTGAGGTAAAAACCAGCCACATCTCATTGCTGTTAGAGACTATGATACCAGGTAGAGAAGAACCTGAGAGAGTAGCCAATAATGATGCTGTATCATCTGGATCAAGACCAGAACCAATCCTCAAGATATCAGAGTAGAATTCCAGATCAAAGGTGCTAAAAACTGCCATGATCTGGTAGTCTGCTGGTCCAGAAACAAGCCATTGAGTGTTGACGTTATTTGGATAGTTGTTTGGGTAATTTGGTGAAACGATCGTCAAAGACTCGCCAAAACCAAAAGTATCAACTTCTGTTCCGTTGCTAAGATCTAGAAATATATGTTGAAGATTCGTGTGGTTTGAGATTGGCAAACAGTATACCAGGCGCGGATCCAGGATTTCTTAGGGGGAGAGGCCCAAATTTGAAATTATGCGAGCCAAATATTGGTACGTAATGGTGACCAGCAGTAACGTAATTAGGGGTGGGAGGGGCAAGTTTTCCCCCTCCCTCCTCCGCGAAGCGCTGAAGCTTTGACATTTCAATAAATTATTAGAGAAAGAAGACGATTCGTTGTACCATTCCCTAAAATAATCCTCGTCTGAATTATGTTTTCCTACATCCCGCGAGAAGCGCGAAAGCTTTTACGTTTCATTAAATCATTAGAGAAAGTAGACGATTCGTTGTGTCGTTATCGACTCTTAATCTTCGTCTAAATTAAGTTTTCCCCCAAGCTTTTACGTTTTATTTAATCAATAGAGAAAAAAGACGATTCGTTGTACCGTTCTCGACTCTTAATCCTTGTCTAAATTCAGTTTTTTCCCCCGACTCCCGCGGAAGCTTCGACGTTTCATTAAAATATTAGAGAATGAAAACGTTCTCGACTTACCGCTCGCCCCCCCCCCCCCTGGATTCGCGCCTGCAGTATACAAATAAACACTGTTTTTGGAGGTTCTGGTTGAAACTATGAGCAATAGTACTATTAATTTTAAATATTACCATTTGAGTTACCGAGGCCCATAGTTTATACCAGTACCTCGAAAAGAAGACAGGGTGTATTTGTGTTATACCCTGCATAAAATGTTTATTTAAAATATTTAACTTTTGATTTCAAACAATGTTCAACTTCCAAATAGGGCTTTTTCAGAGCAACCTTAAATAATTCAAATAATAAAAATAGTTCTGGTCATAGGAAGAGATCTTAACCAATCATAAACCAATAATTTTTAAATACAAGATATATTAATTTGTTGATACGTGCATACTAAGGAGCTTGTTTAGAAATATCAGGATGTTTAATACATTCATTTTTGCGATTCACTCCCCCCTCCTTCCCACCAACAGACCTGTAAGCCTAATATGATCCACCTCAAGTTTATGAAAGTGTATAATGGTTTAGTAGTTGCTTGAAACTTATGTGAAATCCATAGTTCTTTTCAGATCAAGACCACCTCACTTTGATGTTTCAATTGACCTGATTGCATGCTAGTTGCCATGACTTTAGTCAACTTAATAACACTCTATACTTTCAGTTGGTATCAATAATTCAAAGATTTGTGTTTGTATTTTGACAAGCATATCCTATAATATGTGGTCAGGACGGTTAATAAAATCTCAGGGACAGAATTGACAAAACTTCAATTTTTGCATTGGAGTATTATGCATCAACAGCATTTATTTAAAATGTTGCCACGAATTCGATAAATGGCACCTATTCTAAAATGCTAATTTATACAAATGTATGCAAAAATACAATAATACATTCTCACGTCCTGAAATATAAAATCCGGTGTATCAATATTGTTATATCCCGATGGTTTGATGGAGTTACATTTCTTGATCTTTCCGGGTTTTTTAAATAATGTTGCTAGTGTATACATCACGAAACAAATTTTGAATAGTGTATTTAAAAAAATGAATATGTCAGCTTTCGAATATGTTAGAAAAAGCGAGATCAGTCATTTAAAATGAAATATGAATTTTAAATTCAATAATCTAAGCAATTATAAACAATTTTTAGTGTTTGAATGTAAATTGGACCAAAAAGTAAGTGAAAATGATATTTACTATAATTTATCCATATTTACTAATCAAATCCCATTTCAATCGTTCATAAGAAAAATGACAATACCAACACCTCTAGTTTGAAGTGAAATTTTGATATTTTGATTTATATTACGGCCAACTTATTTTTTAAATAAGTTTATTAATCAACTTTATATATGAAGCACGTCATTATTTTTCCCGTTTTCGTTACATCGTGAAATACAAATGCCCTCGCCTTGAATATGTAAGTTGTACTTGATTAATGAGATAGGTCAGGTAATTTCAAAATATTTGTTGATTTCAAAAGAGGAGGCAAAAAAGGTAGGATGGGAACTTGGAGATGTTAAGCATTTCTTTGTTTATTTTGTTTTCTCTTTCGATTTATGAAGTTTACATTCAATAATATCATTTTATTTTCAATTGCAGCAAAGACATTTAAAAAAATCAACGACAGGGTAGTGTTTCGATACCCTATTGTACTTCCCAGAAAAAGCATGCTCAGATCATATTATATGTCATTGTAATGTTTGCACAATTTAACGCATAAGGCTGTTATTAAGTGATTTTAAATGATTTATTGAAAGTTGTAGCGATCGTGTTCATAACCAAACACAGGAGCTAACAGGGATGAACAATTTGTCAAAATCGAGAATGACGGATCCGAAGTGATATGACGTCTTTGCAAACCGTATATGAAGAATCTCATGCTTCACAGTTTAATGAGGATAAATTTATCTTCATTACCACAGTTCAATAAAGAAAAATTTATCCTCATTTACATGTAGCTGTTAAATGAAGATAAATTAATCATCATTAAACTGTGTTAACATAGATAAATTTTCCTCATTTAGCTGTTAAATGAAGATAAATTTATCCTTATTAAGCTGCGATATAGAAGATGAATTTACCCTCGTAATATTAATAGATTTGTACACAGTCGTATGTATTTGTATTCAGTGGTACATATTAAATTGTATATTACATTTGCATTTCTTGTTTTCATTTGTTTCAATTATATGTCCAGAGTGACCGCCATTCTTTTATGTTCAAATGGTAATTAAGTGAAGAGACTGGAGAGCGTGCGTAGAACAGAGATCGATAGTCAGATATGTGGGTTGTAGTGTGTGGAGATGTGAAAGAAAAATCAAGGAATCAGTTTGATGAAATTTTGAGGAAAAGTGAACAAAAAATCGTTCATTTTGAAAATATATACTGTTGTGAGTGGAGAGTGGAAACAACTGGCCACCTACCCGTTTCACTGTGTCAACATCTTGTTTGTTCTTTTGATCAAATGATCTTTCCCTTTCATGACATAATCATTAACTACTTAAACGCAGTTTTGGAGCAAGTAATATACCAGCAGAGCTTTTTAACATGCCTTTTTTTTAACAAAAATATTATCTTTATGGTCAGATCATGAGAACTGTTAAGTTAGTAATGTTCAATTATATTTACCGAGATCTACTTAGAATATTATTGTTACCAGAAGGTATTTTTGTTATGCTCTCTATGTTATGCACTAGTATTTGGAAGGCACAAAAAATAACTTGAATAGAATCCTCACTCTCTTTCTAAGTAACTTTTGCTGAGACTGTACCTCAAGGGGACAAGAAAGAATCCTTCCTTCAGTTCGGTTATCTATACTTCATGTGAATTAGGTAAACTTCCGAGCCAACTTTTGAAATAGGTGGCTCTTAAATAATGGTGCATAATATGGTCTGGTGGTATAGTTTATTATGAAGATATGAATATTATGTATAGCAATAAATAAATAACAACACAAACTACTAAGATTAAGTGTAAAAGATTAGCCCTAAAAAAATGAACAAAAAGGAAAATATACAAGAATAACTGAAATGCAGAATTACGGAGGAGAGGGGGGGGGGTGGACTTTTATAAGTATTCACAGGCGTTTTATGACAAGCTATCCAGATATCGTAAGCGTTGATAATGTTATAATTATATCCCGATACCTTACATCAAGTCACGGATCTGTATTTTATGACAATAATGACAAAAAGCCGCAATATGATAACATATTTACTGAAATATTTAAGAGTAACGAGTTAAGTAGCTCGAAGCTTCTAAATCTAAATCTATACTTAATCTACATCAAGATATGAGTACTCACCAGACTGACTCAATAATAAAATGGAAACAATCCAAATAGAACGTGCGATGCTCGATGAAAAAGAATTCATTTTGACTCATCAGCGTAAACAAGAAATAATCATTTAATTTCACTGGTATTCAAATAATTCTTGATCTCAACGAAATGCAGCTTTATTCACGACCAGTAAAGATTACTCCACACCGTCTTAACATGTGACCTACAACTGATATAAATGGTAGTTTGGTTTGATAATTACGGATGGTTGTCTGCCTGATTCTAAGGTTGTCCATACCAGATTATATCTATTGGAGTTACGAAACGTCCAATAGGACTTTTAGGGTTTCGGCGGAAGGGGGGAGGGGGATGCCCGATACGAAGGATCTTTTAGTTTAATTTAGTCAGGAAGATAATTTTCCCCTTCAAATTGGCAAAGTTCTTGATTTAATCGCGACTTCTTTACATAAACACGGCAGGAAGGATATTAATCTGGAATTATAAAACTCGGTATGAGCGTATCCTAAACCAACCAATCCGAGCAGAATGTCTGTGTTACGTAACAGGTACCACTACAGTAGTATCTAATTACTCATAACTAAGCGATGTACGTAGGCACCTAGAGTATGCTAGGGAGCAGAGGGGTGCATTAACATGTTGCAGCCGTATATCACCACCAGCAACATTCTCCCACAAACAAAGAAAAGAGTAACCACATTTTGTTTTTAAAGGTAGTACAAAGTTTTGGTATGGGATCATGAATTTGGTTCAGCTGAAAATTATGGGAAGCATATGCGATTTTACAATATTTCAGTGATCGTTGTCGCGGTTGAATTCGGGTCTAAAATGATGAAATTGTACACAATAAACTTTTTATGTTGTATAGCGCCCTCACAAGGCCGACATTACTTTAGGTCTAAAACTATGTTTCTTGACTGCAATCAACCGACTTGTCATTTCCGTTTCGAAATTATATATCAAAACTTCATATTCTGATATTTTCATGGTCTCAGCGCTACCATGTGATGGCCTTAGGCGCTATTTGAAATATTTGAAATTTACCGGGAGCACCGGTAATTTTTTTATTATTCAATTTCTCGAAAGCAGAAGTGTTTCAGGGGCTACATTTTCTAGTGCTTATAAAACATCCACAGGGGCATCTAAATATATCAAAATTGTAAAGAATTACTATCCATCCTATTTTCCAAACATTTCCCAAAACTTTGCATTACCTTTAACAGAGCGTCTTTTCACTTAAAAACTCGCTCCCAGCATGAACTTTACACACTTTGTGTTAGGTCCATGCTCACTTCATCCTTACAGCACCCTGTATTGATACATGGGGTAACCTCATACTCCAAGCACCCTCGGCTCTCAGGGCTAGCAAAGTGTAATGCTATCCTGTCGTTATATCGTAAACTACTTTATGAATATAATTACAAAGGAAATAACGACAAGATACGGTTACATCCTCGTTGAGATCGACCGAGGTTGGCCCTTCATTTATTTATAACGTTGCATCTTCCTTCTAAAGGCCCGGTCACACAGAGGGGGACGCATGGGGGACGCACGGCCAGCGCATTGGAAATTTTGCAATTTGGGCCAGTGCGTTGTCGTTCGCTAGGCGTGCGTCATCATTCGTTACTCGTTTGTCGAGCGCGCTGGACCCACGCTATGCATTCGTCGTCATTCGCTGTGTGCGTAGGGTTTTTTTGAGCATGCTCAAAAGTGTGCGCGGAGCTCGACGCATAAATGTACACGCCAAATGCACGCCAGACATGCGTGGAACGCGCTAGATCAGCGCCAGACATACGCGAAGCACACGCCCTGTATACACAAGCGCGCTAGCTACACGCTGTGCATTTTGTGTCAGCTCGCTAGCTTTTCCAAAATCATGACAAAAGTTAGGCACACGGCCTTTTCCGATTTCCAATGCGCCGGCCGTGCGTCGTCTATGTGTGACCACCTCTGTTGAGAACGCGGTGCATGCGTGGACCATTCGTCCAGCTCGCTAGCAACACGCTCTGCATTCGTGGAAGTTGTTACCATGTGCGTTCTGTGTACGGTTTGTATGCGCACTGCATGCGCCCTGTATGCGCTCAGCGCGCTAGCAACACGCTATGCATTTGGTGTCAGCTCGCTGTAGCTTCGACAAAAGTTGGGTGCACGACAACGCACTGGCGAAAATCGCAATTTTTCAATGCGCTGGCCGTGCGTTCTCCATGCGTCCCCTCTGTGTGACCGGGCCTTAAGCACTGGTGTTGTTTTGTTCGTTTGTTAATTTTCAATTGCACCTTGAGTCTTTGATTTCAAGTGTATTTGGCGCGTTGCAAATCTCATATATCATTATTGATTTATTGATTGATTAATTTATTATTATTATTATTATTATTATTGTTACTAATGTTGTTTTCATTGTTATCATTATTATCATTATTACCATTATTATTATCATTATTATCATTACTGTCATTATTCTTAATATTGTTATCATTAATATTATTATTATTATCATCATTATCACTGATATGGGGTTAAGATACACTTAATTGTCATTATTCCATTCCATTGTTACCACCCTAAAACAGATCCCTATAACCATGCACACCATTTCCCAAGGTTCCCAATACAGCCACCCACATACATTTGGTTTGGGGACGATTTATTAACACATTACATTGGATTTCAGCGAAGTATGTGGAATATTGAGTCTGGCGTTGATGAGACTAATGATGAGATTGATGATAATGTGCGATTGGTGACAAATATAAGGATTTGTTTTTATACTCTTCACGTTTGGGAGCGTGGTTCAACAAACTCTCCTAGCAATCTTGCAGTGCCTATAAATCACTGAGAAGAGATTCAACTCACCCGTGATGTTATGAAAAGACCGTAGATGCTACCTATGGCAAACACATATTATCATTTTTTGACGCTTAAGGATTCTCACTTATACGACAAAAATAATAATCTCTCTGAAAAAACGATATAGTCCTAGAAGGACAGACTGGTTTTAATGAAAATAATACATGAAGATAAACACATACAAAAATATTATAAAGTTCTAAAAACAAATTACAAAATATGAAAACTATCTGCAACTTGGTATCGAGAAAACACACTGACCAAAATCAGAGTATGCAATAGTTACCTATAATGATTGAGAAAAAATAAGAAAATATAACGAATTGATAGGTTACGCCCACCTTGTAAAGGAAGCATAAACAATGTACTTCGTAGCGAAATATACATACTAAAAGATCTCATCTTTAAAATATTTATTTAGATTGATTCATGAAAAAGGCATAGTGTATTCCAAATAAGCGATGACAGCTAACGAAAAGACGTTAAATTTGTTTTTTAATGTGAAATGCACGAGAAAAGAAATGCGTTAAATTAACAAAAGATGTTGATGTTGATGATAATAAAGACAATTATGATGACGGATGATGATAATTATGATTTCAATATTGACAATGTGCAATAATAATAGTATTAACAATTATCATTATTATGATGATCATCATAATCATCATCATCACCATTATCACATCGTTTCTTCTCATGGATTTAGTTCGATGTTATACGAAGATGATACCCAAATTTACGTGACTTACTCCGGAAGCGGTCAGCAGGCAGCCACTATGAAAGTTGATAACTGTCTTGATGGACATAGTTTCATGGGCTCATACGAACATGTTAAAGATCGATGCTGGCAAGATTGAGCTTTTTCATTTCTCATCAAAGTTTAGCTCATCGTTCACCTGCTTCTGTAGTAGTTAATGGTCTCAAGCAGGAGCGAGGAACTTGGGTGTATACGGATCATCAACTGCAACTTCAAGATCATCTCAACATGACATGCCGTTCAGCAATTTGTGCAATTAGAAAAATTGGACAAATAAGAAATTTACTTAATAAGAAAACCACTGAGAAATGAATTCATGCATTCGTTTCCTCTATGATTAATTGCTGTTAGTAATGCTCTATGCAAATTGTGCAAAACAGTGCTGCAAGAATTGTTGAACAAGCAAGGGGGAGGGTTCCAGTAACACCCATGTTAACTCACCTTCATTGGCTACTTGTAAAAGAAAAAAATGTTTATAAAGTTCTTATGTTGTGTTGCAAGGTAATGATTCACAAATCCCCGACTTATCTTCTTGATATTATTTCATCGTACATACCCGGTAGAAATCTCCGTTCCTCAACAAAGAATTTCCTGACTGTCCCTACTAGCACTTTTAACGGCAGCGCCTGTCTTGTGGAATCAACTTCCTGACCAGCTTCGAGTTGCTAATTGGGAGCACTTACGGCTTTGGAAGAGCCCTGAAAACTTATTTGTTTTCGAGGGTTTCCTAGAACTGCTTTGTCCTTTTGCTGGTTAGTTCGACATAATGGGTGTCTGTTTGTTAAATTTGTTTTATGTAATGTCAACTAGTTTTATTTAGGTGTAATTATAGGTGAATTGGTTTACTTTCCCATAAATATTTTTTTGTTATTTGCTTATCTATTTGCGCCTTCTTTCTTGTAGTAAAAGTTCTTTAATCATTATTTATGTTCCTACGGATAAATTATAATGTTTGAACAGATGTCAAATATGTTGTCAAATTGAATGGAAGAAAATAAAGGTTCATTTGAATTGAATTGAATTGAATTTATTATGTTGTTTATATATTAAGATTTTTCATGATTGTAAAGCGCAGAGAGAAATTCCAATTTGTTATGCGCTTAATAAATATTCTCTATTATCATTATTAATATTATTATTATTATCATCACCATCATACAATATTTTTTTTTTTTTTTGTAACCTTTTCAGGGAACTTTATTTTACATTTCTACAACGTTCACAATAATGTATATACATATACAAATTGAAATATTATCTTAGCATATCAACCAAAGCTTTTACCCGTTTTCCATTAACCTTTGCTCTTGTTTTAGAATTTAAATGTGGCATCAGTTCATACTTCAAATCAATTAATAGAGTTCTACCATTTATTTTGCTTTTTGTTTTTAAATATTAAACGTAGTCAACCATAATCATTTTTAATTTTCCATTTATATAGGTTATATTTTGACGGTCAAAACACATGCAAAAGTTCAAAATTAAACTGTTTGATTCTTTTATCTCGTATAGTAATGAACTTAAATACCAATACCGGATTCCAAATAAAATCGGAGGGCAGTGCTAATCGTTGCTGCCAAACATTGTATACAAAAGACTCTTCTTTTTTTCTGCATAGAAAATAGGTAGAACTGATGAAAGTCTGTGTTTGTAGACTATCTGTGAGGAAAGTGATGTTTACATTAACCCATACATATAGCATCCGGGGTTAAAACCATTTAACTTCCACCCAGTAGCCTGCCTACATCATTATTGTAACCCCCAGTATGACTTCCCTCCACACGAACCTCCACACGGACGTACCTCTCATCAAAAACTCATGACTCTATTACAGAAATACAAACGATGTTATTACTTCACTGCACAAAATATTGAAGTCAGAATAATCATCTGCTCAGAAGTCATTGCGTTAGAAAGTGATTCGTTTAAAAAAGTAACTGTTGAGAGGATTTCAGTACCTCGATGGACAAAAGCCTTGTGATACCCACGGATCGAACTACGTACAATTCATCCTTCAGTCAAACCAGGTAGAGTCTCGCCGCGCCAAGGCAGTCAGATGACGCAAAGTTCATCGCAGTGATCTCTGTGTATTCATTGCCAAGGTATCTTCTCGATACAAATCTACTTTGTTAGTTGAAATGTCAAGTCAGATGAATATAATGGATCTTTCTTCTTCACTGGTCCTCATACTAGTTTTTATTGTGTCAGTGGATTACACAGCAAGTCAGTCTGGTGAGTATCGGCTTCTAATCTTTATTATCATATCCAATTATTGATCAGAAATTACTTCATTAATATTTGCAGGTGTTGCAATAGTATTGTGATTTCATGTCAAAATTTCCGAAAAGTAACAATCATTTTAATTTGGAAAATAATGCTTCTTCAGTTAAATTCACTTGAGATATGAAGATATATTGGAAGAAAAAATGATATTAGTTCATGATATTGGTTCCAAATAATACGACCCGGGTCCGGTCCAGGGGGCGGTCTCATTCCCAGTATAAATGGGTAAGAAGAATTTAGGGCGCCCCAGCGTTAGGGCGGTCCTAGGGGTGCGTCCACGGGCACCTCCATCGTTAACGACCGCAGTGATTTAGGCCGGTCTACATACGGTGAACGCCCTAAATTTTGGCCGCAGTATAAATAGGGTAAAGCATTATACAGCTATAGCAGAATGAAACACATCTTGCTCACAGGTTGAAGTACAATTAGGAAAAGGATTTTCCCACATTTTCACCTCGTCATCACTATATTTTTCAAATCCGTATACTAATAACAAAATCAAAACAAAGTTCAGAAAAAATGAGAATAAGAACAATACCATTTAACAGTTAAAACAGCATAATTATGTCAGTATCGAACTTGAATTTAGTAAGTATGTTGGTGTTATAAATATGGGAAGTTCTGAATTTTAAGTAACAAATGGCAGTTTAGATCTTTGTGAAAGTTATTTGATTCCATCATTACAGAATTTACCAGAAGAACTTTTCTCCATATATTTATGTACTATAGTACATAAATATATGGAGGAAAGTTCTTCCAGTGCTAGGATGTGAATAACTATCCCTAAAGTTTAATATTTCCTTCGTGACCATGTTCCTAACCTTCTTTTACATGAGGCATGTTGGAGGTGGTATGATTCTACGACACATACTCTGGCAATAATTACTCTCCAGACCATCATTTTATTACACTAACTGATTTCTATAACCTCTGGACCAACCGAGTCCTAACCCTAAGTCCCTTATTGAAAAAATCATTGCATTTTTTCCCCTTTTTCTTATGAAGCCACCATAAAGTCAAGCGTCGCTTATAATGGTTGTCCCCTGCACTTTTCCACATATAGTTAGGATAATACTTTACTCTCATAATAATATATTGTAGAAATATAACTTTACTCTCATAATAATATATTGTAGAAATATCAAGTTCATTATAAAACGTAAAATGTAAATCATATTTTGAATACTTTTATATACCTAACGTGTACATTTTCTTTGTTATTCAGTTATTGTATTTGGAAAAAAGCATAAATAAAATAAAATAAAATAAAATCAAGATATTTTATCGCCAAATTGCTGGTAAATTTGAAGATTTCCCAAAAATATTCTACTCAACCCCAATGCGACATGGCAAAGATCGAGCGAAGGGGATACGAGGTTCATATATGTTCTTGTAGGTAAAACTCAAAAGCGGAAATTGAAAACCGTTCGTATTATATGAATTGAAATCAATCTGAAATATCGTTTAACTTAAAAAACCGCTCGTATTATATGAATCGCAAAACAAATACTGGCAAATTATTATTCAATAAAATCTGAGAATGTATACTGTTATCTAGATCTATTATGAATAAAAAATTTGTCAAAATACTTTCATAAATTGGGGTAAAAAATATATATTCCAACTATATGAGCGACAGTGAATAATATTGGTTCGCCCATAAGCTTCAGAACATTTCTCAATGGTTGTATATTGCTAAATTAATCTTAAATGTAAAGAAAACCAATTATGTAATTTTCCGAACAAAAACATTAGAACTGATGATATTGAAGTAAAAATTAATGTAAATGTTGTACAGTGTTGTAATTCATTGCCATTTTTAGGTATTCAAGTTGATCGTAAGATGTCATTGCACACTCATATTGAAATAATTTGGATTAAACTCTCGAAAGTAGTTGGTATTTTACATAAATTAAAACATCTCTCTGATAAGATTTTTTAATGATATACAATGCATTGTTTTATCACAATTAAATTTTTTAAATATTGTTTTGGCGAATTCAAGTGATTATTGTATGAATAGGTTATATAAATTACAAAAGAAGGCAATACTTCTCTGGATCCCATTATCATGCCAATACAAAACCTATTTTTGTCCGCTTTAAATGCTTTAATATATTTGAATTGAATGATTATAATAATATTGCTAATATTTTTTGTTTTTATGTCATAAAGGTATTATCCCCCCTAGTCTTTCAAACAAAGTTCGTTTGAAATACATTCATATGGAACTAGGCAATCATCACATTTTCATATACAACTAAAAAAAAAAAATCAAATTTTCTTTAAAGGACCAATTTTATGGAATGAATTACCTCCTAATATTAAAGCAAGCCTGACTTTATTAAACAGAGATACAATATATATGTATATATATATATATATATATGCAATCAGGTGTTATATGCTAGGTGTTAGTTGTTAGGTGTAAGGTGTAATAGTTAAAGGTAACATTATTTATTGTGTCGTAAGGGACCAGCACCAAATGGGACTTTAATATTCTCTCTTGCCGGTTTCCTCATTCGTATATATAATTGTATTCTGTATTTATCTTTCGTTATGTTGTTTGTATGTTCTTTACTTATCTGTAAATATCAATGTTATAATTATGTTTGTTTTTATATGACGAATGGAATAAAATGAAATGAAATAAAATGTAATAACACTACATTCATTCAGTACTGCTGTGTGCTTATCAAGATAATGGTGAGAGAATGAAAAGCATGCATACAGGTGAGTAATATTGAATAAAACAAAGTTATATCAAAACTGATGCTCTATCTGAACTTGCTAATACATTTTCGTTTTTCAGGAGGGGAAAAAGAGTCGAACGGGTCTTTACATCATATTTTGATCGTTTCATAACTCATAAATCTCATTTGAGTTAGGTCCACCCTGTTTCAATGATTATTTTATATCGACATGTCTCACTAGCTATGTGGAAAATATCAACTGCTGATTATGCGTATATGATCCTGATATATGACATGTTTGAATGAAGGATCTGAAAACCTTCGAAGTATTGTTTTAACAAATATATATATATATATATATAACATTCTTTCAGTCATTAACTTTCGTTTCACATGCCTTCATTATTAAACCCACTTTCGTTCTAGGGTGTTCCTTCGTACGCAATTTCGTGTATGTACATAATATGTAAATGTAATATGATATATTTGGCAAAGGAGACTTTTAACCCTTTTTTCTTGTTCAAATACAAAACCAAATCTACATTGTTGGTACCAGCTGAAAATATAAAGTGGTTTGAAGTTTCATTAAAGTCATGGCGATCATAGTACTTCAAGAGTAACCCGAAGTGAAAATCATACTCAATTGCTCGTGATCTGAACTATGGATTTCATATTTCAAGCAACTAATATCATTACACACTAATGACCGACTTAAAGAGGAGTGAAGAATCAAGAAATTTTACAGACCTTCGGGGGGGGGGGAGTCTCTGAACCCTATATATATTTTTAGACCAACTCCTCAGTATGCACTTATCAAACTTGGCGCCCCTCCTGCACCCACATTTGGCCAATCCCGGAATTGCTTCAGGGAAGATAGAACAAAAAGTGAAGGGAGAACATTGGGATGGGGGAACACCCCTCCCTCCTCCTCCCGGTTTGTTGAGCTTTCAATGATCGCCATTGGATATATCCCTATGTCATTGCTATATACAGTGCGTCACAGAAAAAACGGAACCGAGAATTATCACTCTTGAAGTCTAACAATCTCCATGATCGCCATGACTTTAATGAAACTTCAAACCACAATACATTTTCAGCTGGTACCAACAATCTAGATTTGGTTTAATATTCATGAAAAAGGGGTTCAAAGTCACTTGTGCCAAATATATCATATTACATGTACGAAATTGCGTATGATGGAACACTCTGGAACGAAAGTGGATTTAATAATGAAGGCATGTGAAACAAAAGTTAGTTAATGTTATATATATTTTTTAAACAACAATACTTCAAAAGCTATTAGATCATTCATTCAAACATGTCATATATCAGGTAAACATCGATAATTCTCGGTTTCGTTTTTTCTGGGACGCACTGTATAGTGCTTGCTCGTAGGTATGGAATGAAATCCATGAATGTATTGCTGTTTCGGTTTATTACCTTTTGATTTACAACCAGTTCGTCTACTACCTAACTTGTCTATTCCCATATGGTCTAGTTTCCACATAGTCTAATAATTATGTCGTCTAGTTATCACTTGGCTTAAAGACCATTTAGGCTAATAGTCATTTGATCTATTTTCCATTTGGTCTAATGTCCAATAAGTCTACTAAACTTTTGGTTTTATTACCCTGCTTTTAGCCAAGCTGCCATACGGCACTAAAAGTATTCAAGGAATAAATTCCTACCAACTACCTAATCTACTGCGCCTGGGTGTATAATAGCAATGTAGATTAATGTCTTGCCGGAGGAGAGTTACGTGCCTCGAACCGCTAGTCATGCGATCCATAGTCCGGTGACATTATCCACTAGACCACGACACCTCTACATGTAGCTGCGTTGTAAATTCATAAACTCATATTGCTGACATGCTAGGCATACCGGGGATGACATCTCATCGAAGATCATCTCATCGAAGATCATCTCATCGAAGACCATCTCGTCCAAGATCATCTCTGCCAAGATCATCTCATCGAAGATCATCTCGGCCAAGATCATCTCGGCCAAGATCATCTCATCGAAGATCATCTCGGTCAAGATCATCTCGGCCAAGATCATCTCATCGAAGATCATCTCATCGAAGATCATCTCGGCCAGGATCATCTCCACCAAGATCATCTCGGCCAAAATCATCTTATCGAAAACCATCTCGGCCAAGATCATCTCATCGAAGATCGTCTCGGCCAAGATCATCTCATCGAAGATCATCTCAGCCAAGTTCATCTCGGCCAAGAACATCTTATCAAAGACTATCTCAGCCAAGATCATCTCATCGAAGATCATCTCGGCCAAGATCATCTCATCGAAGACCATCTCGGCCAAGATCATCTCATCGAAGATCATCTCGGCCAAGATCAATTCATCGAAGATCATCTCGGCCAACATCATCTCGGCCAACATCATCCTCATCGAAGATCATCTCGGCCAAGATCATCTCATCGAAGATCATCTCGGCCAAGATCATCTCATCGAAGACCATCTCGGCCAAGATTATTTTGGCCAAGATCATCTCATCAAAGATCTTCATTTTTCTATATCGAGAGTATAAAGCTCTGTTTGCCGAATTTTCGCACAACCATCTAGGGCCTTATATCTGTGGATGTGCGTGAGGGGTACGTGGGTGTGTATATACAGTCACTCTCCATGGCTCGATATCTAGGAAATACTCCATCAAACAACATAAATGTTTAATGTTTAATAATTTCTTTTTTTTTAGAACCTGACAACGGAACAGAAGTTGGTTTGGTCGGTTATGGTGAATCTTTGACGATCGTTTCAACAAACTATCCAAACAACTATCCAAATAACATCAACACTCAATGGCTTGTTTCTGGACCAGCAGACGACCAGATCATGGCAGTTTTTAGCACTTTTGATCTGGAATACAACCATGACTTCTTGAGGGTTGGTTCTGGTCTTGATCCAGATGATACAGCATCATTATTGGCTACTCTCTCAGGTTCTTCTCTACCTGATATCATAGTCTCTAACAACAATGAGATGTGGCTGGTTTTTACCTCAGACGGTTCAAATACAGAGCTTGGGTTTAGGGTTAACATCGAAGTTTCTATTGCAAGAAACTATACAGGTAATTGATCAACGAAAATTGTGAAACTTTAATTGTTCGAGAAAACCACTTGAAATTGATATTTGCTTATGATGTAATAATTAATTAATTACAATTTCCTTTTACTGATTTACCATTTACTTGCCCATAGCTTTAACCAGAACCTCTCAAGACAGTGCATATTTGTTTATTATATCCTGCATCAAAAATGTTTTAGTTTTTGATTGTTACAAAGTGTGTCACATGATAAAAAATAATCACATTATTTTGTAAATAGTATTTTAACTAAAAGTACTGTTTCCGCTAGTAAAACTTTACACAGTACTCATGTCGCAGTGCGTTAAGTATTAAAGTGACTTTAACTTTGACAAAGGGAGTAATATTTGGGATTACTATTCAAGAGTTTAATTATTTTTTTAAATGTTGATGCAGAATGTAAAAAAAATAAAACCTTTCTTCTTTTCCAGGTACTGGTCATTACTATGGGCCGAAGTGACTCAAATAATACCATTTGCTTCAGGGCTGCGCACCTCAGCAAAATTAATAGTACTTTTGGAGTCACCTCTTGCTCATAGTTTCAACCAGAACCTCCCAAAACAGTGTTTATTCGTATACTGTTTACCAACCTCAAACCACACGAATCTTCAACATATATTTCTAGATCTTGGCAACGGAACAGAAGTTGTTACCTTTGGTTTTGGCGAGTCTTTGACGATCGTTTCACCAAATTACCCAAACAACTATCCAAATAACGTCAACACTCAATGGCTTGTTTCTGGACCAGCAGACTACCAGATCATGGCAGTTTTTAGCACCTTTGATCTGGAATTCTACCCTGATATCTTGAGGATTGGGTCTGGTCTTGATCCAGATGATACAGCATCATTATTGGCTACTCTCTCAGGTTCTTCTCTACCTGATATCATAGTCTCTAACAACAATGAGATGTGGCTGGTTTTTACCTCAGATGTTTCAGTTACAGAGCCTGGGTTTAGGGTAAACTTCGAAGTTTATACTCCAAGAAACTATATAGGTAATTGATGAACTATCTGTCTCGGCTTTTATTTTCGGTTACAGCGCTGGGGTTTTGGGTTTGACATCAAGGTTTTCACTCAGGCAAAATTTACAGGGGATTGATCAATGAAAATTGTGGAACGTCAATTGTTCGAAAAAACAACTTAATTAAGAAACATGCTTATGAGATGTAATGATTGTAATTAGTGAAAGGAATACTAACAACCAGAATTTTGATGCAATTAAGCCTTCTGGTCAGAATAACATCCAAATCGGTTTCAAATCGTAGACAATCGCACAAGTCTAAACTTACTGCAATTCTGTGTCCTCCTCCAAGGAATCATGAAACGATTTTATATTGAGATTGATATTTCATTAAATAAATATTTGGAACCCTGATCATTACTATTTTATATATGTCTTAATATTCATATCAAATGCTATTGTAAATTCTTCCAAAACCTAAGGTTTTTCACTGTGAAAGATGTTCTTTTTTGAATATTTCCAGTATTTGCCTTTTTTCCTAATATTATCTGGCGGTAATACCGGTAAATTTACTGCCCAACCATTACTTTAATACCCTGTTCTGTGTCTTCTGAATTGTTTAGTTTTTATTGAATGAATAAAGATTCACAATACATCAATATGATTGATACCGATACATGTACCTTGAAACTTTTCCACAGAGTTTTTCTTCGCGGATACCTGTGTTGAGGAGTTCTGCTATGGTGGCGAGGAAACGACTGTATGTAGGTGCGATGACATGTGCCAATTCTTTGGTGATTGCTGTCCAGACTACCCTCTACCAATCTTTAACGAGACTCCATCAAACGAGACTCTACTGAACGAGACAGAATCAAACGAGACTCCATCAAACGAGACTCTATCAGCCGAGACTATATCAAACGAGACTCTATCAAATGAGACTCTATCGAACGAGACTCTATCAAACAAGACTCTATCAAACGAGACCCTACCAAACGAGACTCTATCAAACGAGACTGTATTAGACCTTGACGTATGGGAATGTATCGTTGATTCTTTCCTTCCACTATTCTACCCATTTCTTGGACATGGTTACAGGATGATTGCTAGGTGCCCATCAGGATGGTCTTTAGAGGAGGATGTCAAACGAAATTGTGAAGAGGTTCCTCCCAATGCAACTATAGATGTTCTTTATATCTACAACAACATATACTTTAGAAACCTGGGTTGTGCTACTTGCCATGGGTATACTGAAAGTTCTTTGACAGCTGTTGTCATTTCAGCAGACCAACAATGTTGGTGGGGATATGAGTATACCCTTGCCTGCATGACACCAATGCCCGCATTACAGTCCAACGTTTCGATGATTATCAGCGGATCTGATATCATGCCTACTGTTCAAACTATTCCGAAACCTCGACTTTGCCTCGTGAATACAACTGGAAGTTGTCCAAATGGGACAAATGAAGAGATAGCCAGCGAGTGTCAGTATTATTACAAACCATTCATTATTGAAGGCGTTGTAAGGAAGCATCCTGCATGCAGTAATTGCAACGGAGGTCCCTTGGTCATATGCCAACCAATAATAACTGATGTGGATGCACGGAATTTACCAATGTATGAGTATGACGAACCAATGCATAACGAAGGAATAATTGATATTTTTATAATGCCCGAACCCATCAGGCCCCTAGTAGTACAATGCATAGAAGGATTTGAAATGGATGACAATGGTAACTGCGCTCCCATATCATCCGATTGGCCCGTCTGTCAATCCAAATATTTTGGAGTCAAACAAAGTAACGGAACTGTAGAGTGTTTAGAAGAGATGGTTTGTTTCAGGGAGGTGACCATGGATAACATTACAATATCGGCAATAGTTCCCCCACCTTGTCTAGTTAGGTCTTCAACAGACGTGGTTAATGATACTATAACATTTAGTGTGATTTACAGAGATGACATGAACCCATCTCTTGATATAATCCAGAGAGACATCATACATCAACTTCAAACTCCTAGCCGTGACGGTTGCAAGGACATAGTAATATCAACTAGTCAATCCTGTTATGTCGAAGAAAATCCTGAAAACATTACATATCGTTGTCCCGAGGAAATGTTTGCTGGATATTATTTAGATCTTACGCCTTCTCTTATCAACAATGAGTCTCTTATTTACTTCAATGGAACTTATATTCGACCAACATGGTGGAGTAATATCACCAACATGCAGTTCAGCAGTGACAACGTCTCATCAGAGTATCAGTTTGTTATGTGTGGGACCGAGATTGCCCTCCAAACCTGCTCTTTCTTCACGGTTTCCAATGATTCCATTGAATGGGACTATCAAGGAAACCAGTCTGTTATTCTGTATCAAGGTCAGATGTACGACACAGAGGACATTCTGATTCATCCCGATGGTTCCATAAGCATCTGCTATATTGATCAGGTCACACCCATTAGTAGAAGGACATTGATAATCCTAGGACATGTTCTCTTTGCCACATCATCAGTTTGTCTCTTTGCTACATTGATAACTTACGTTGCCTTCTCTACCTTGAGGAATCGTCAAGGTGTATCCATAATGAATTTCATTGTTGCGTTGTTCCTTGGACAAATCTTCCTTCAGTACATTCGTCTTTTAGTCTCCCAGTTGGGAATACCTTGCATAGTCGTTGCTGCGATGTCACATTTCTTCTTCCTTGCTTCGTTTTTTTGGACGACTATCCTTGCTTGGGACCTGAGTCGGAGCTTCGCAGCAAGTAAGATGAAATCGTTTTCATCTAGCACATTTGGTCGTAAGATGGTGTTTTTTCTTGTTATTGGATGGGGCACCCCTCTCGTCTTTGTCTCGATCACTTTGTTACTTCAGTTCGGAGGATTTCAAAATGGTCCTTTATTGGAATACGACAGTAATACATGCTGGCTTGCCAAACTATCTAGCATAGTAATGTTCTTTATTCCAATGACTCTTTGTCTTCTATCTAATCTCGTGTTTTTTATCATCACGGTACATGGAGTTCATTCTATCAAGAAAACAACATCTATGCTAAAATCTGGCCAGGACTCTCAATTGAAACAATGGACGGTTGAGCTCAGAATATATGTCAAGGTAGGTTCCAAACAAGAGTGTTGTTTCCTCAATGCATAATGATTCTAAAATTAATAGCGAATTGTGAAGCGATTACTGGAAGTGGATCTACTTGCTACTCCGCGACGTTTCATCAGTCCATCCTGGCTTCTTCTGGTGGTCTGATCCTATCGGGGGGGGGGGGGGCGTTTGGGAAAACAAAAGTTGGGGGGGATTCATAACACGTTCTCGCAGGTTGCAAGTAATGGCCATTGTTCAGTGTGTTAAAATGAAAATTAACCTTCGTTTTGGCAAGTTTTAAACACCTTGGTAATATGTGGTTACCAACATTATTGATCACCTGTTTAAAGTTTTGAAAGCATTTTAAGTGTGTTCTTTAAGATGGTATTGCGTGTAGCACTACTAATGCATCTAGCATCTTTGTTTATAAAAAAAACTGTGTTAATTATTTCATATTACCATAACCGTGAAAACAATATACATGTCGTACATTATGTATAATGATTCTCTCTGTTTATGGGTGTGTGCGTGCGTGTGTGTGCGTACGTGTGTGTGTGTGTGTGTGTGTGTGCGTATGTGTGTTGGTCTGTGTGTGTGTGTGTGTGTCTCTCTCTCCTTCCACCATCCCAATCTGTCTCTATGTGTTATTATCTGTTATCTTTCTCTCTCTCTCTCTCCCCCCCCCCCCCCCTCTGTCTTTCTCTCTTCACCCTCCCAATCCGTCTCTGTCCTATTATCTGTTCTCTCTGTTTCCTGACCACCTTCTAATTTATTTTCTGTTTGGTCCTTCTCTTCAAATAATTCTCACTACAACTAAGTGTCGCACTTTTGAAGCACAAGTATAGCTGAACTGTTTCCTTTCATCTCTCCTCCTTCTCGTCATTTGTAAATAGATCTCAGCTCTTCTTGGATTCGCCTGGTTATTTGGGTTCTTAGCTATGGTCATCAGAGTCCCCTTCATGGACTATCTCTTCATCATCGTCATCAGTCTCCAAGGCGTCTTCATTTTCATTTCATTCGGTGCCAACAAACGAGTCAAGAAACTCTGGCGAACATTTTCGCAGAACTCAACGCTGTGGACGACTCTTTCTCGAAGAGAGCATTCAAGCGGTCGTAGTAATACTGGAACACAGGATGGACGCACACAATGTAGTGAGAAACATTAGACACTATAAATATAAATGGAAGGAAGAAAGCGCAGATACTTATCATAAGTTGCTAGAAGGGAAGGGGTAGTAAAACTCCGGCTGCAGTTCCCACTCGTCAACAGAGAGAGAGAGAGAGAGAGCCTTGAATGGGTGGGTGAGGGGGAGAGAGGTCTATTAAGAGCCATTAAATCACTAAGCTGCGACTGTTAGCGCAACACTCGAACGGCATTCGCAAGGGAGTTTCCCAATTATCTCGAAACTTTCGTGGGGTTCTATAGTTCTCAATTACCTCGCGTGACTAGCCGGTCCTTCCTCTCGTGTTGCTGGAATTTTAAACTAAATTTTCTCTCAAAATAGTCACAGAGTCGTCGCGTATGTCTCGAACCCTTCTCAATAGGTCATTTTCGTAATGTGTATGCATGTGCATTAGTAAAGCGCCTAGATACGAATAAATGTATCTCAATAGTCACGTTTCAAATTGCATTTATTCGTTCTTGCTAGGTAAGACAAACATGACTAGCCCTACCTACCAACATGTTATATATGTTATTTGCATTCTGACTAATGAATTAACAATGGATGCCCCCCTCCACAAATTTTATTTTTCGTTATAGAAAGTGATAGTGGGATGGAAAGGTACACTAAATTATATATTTTTTTACTAATATTTTACAAATTGTTACTACCCTTGTATATAAATTGAAATATAATTGATTTTTTGTTGTTGCCTAAATACAACTTGGCAATGCTATTTTATCGTATCAAAAAATGTTTTAATATTTAGAAAACACGTATTAAAGTTATACCCCTTAACAAAAAAGTCTAAATAAATTTAAATTTGTTAACTATATTTTCACTATATTTTATTAAATGATATTATATTTATATCATATTTCAGCATATATTTTATCATATTTATATCGCGGTTAAAATGATTTGATATTTCTTTCTTCTTCCGCAAAAAAGGGAGCTGATGCAAAGTGGATAAAACGTTCAGTTTGTACAAAGTACCTGCGTTTTCAGACGGACATGAACATTATATTTGTCATGTTATTAGATATGTATGTGATGTTCACAAAATAGATTAAGGTTCTGTTGGTGAATAAATGTTTTTCTTTATTTATCTAGTCTGATTATGAAATATGAATTAAAATTTACCTTTATAATGTGAACTGTATGCAGTAGTGGCGTGAACATACAATGTTAGATCAATAACTAGATCTACTAGACCTAAAAGTGTTGTTGAGGTGAAATATAGCAGATAATCATTACTGACTACTGTGGCCGGTGGGCTAACTATCATCGCCTCGGTGATCTCGGGAGCTACACTTTTTTTTAGTTTGATAGCTTCCTCGAGATTACTTCTGCGATGACAGTATGTTCCATCGCCAGCGAAGTGGGTATTATTCTTTGTTTAATAATATATGATTGTATGTATATTATACGATATTATACAAAATCTGCGATTTACTCAAACTCTGTTTTTTGGCTAGCCTTGTCGGGAATCTTGCATGAAAAGATCCGATTAAACAATATACAAAATAATAATGACATCAACAGCAAAAATTCGATTTCAATGTCATTCAACATGGATCTTTGGTTTGCTCACTTGTAAAAGACAAAGGCCCGAACAAAGTTTACAAAGAACAGAAAGGTGATACAAAACATGGATACATGTTGGTGATGAAAAAAGTAATATGGCATACGTAATAATGATATTCGTTTGGTGGGGCTTCTTTGGTTTCCTTAAATTACGTAATTTAAGTTTCTTCATTCATATTTATACATACAAATTATTTACCACTATACACATTGAAAATTTAGCTTTTAAACTGATTTGAAGTATATCGGAATAAATCTGATAAATTGAAAATGTAAATACTGATATATATGAGCCAATGATTACCGTATACTTAACCGCTAATTGATTTTACTAAATAATCATTTTAATCATTTCCTAACTCGATACATAATATCAAAGAAAAAGGCCATTATTTACATGCCCTGGTTGAATACGGACAGAATGTGTTTGTAAATTACTGTGTTCTACATCTTAGAGATCTCAATCTTCTCCCTGATCGGAGAAACTCATAGAAGAAAATAACGGATGATTGCAATTTATCATGATTTCGTTGGCTTTTTGGACGATTTTCCTTTTACAATCTTCCACCAAGTCTTGCTTTCGCCAGAACCCCTTTTCTAGAAAATGCAAACCATACGATAGAATAAAATAAAATAACACTCTGTACTATCGGAATATAAAACAAACTCAAATCGTCCTATCCACATGGATGGACTTCATTTTTCGTAGGAAAAAAAAAATACTCTGCTGTGCTTTTCCCGTTGCAACCAACCTTACATTGTTCTGTTCACGATAATATATTTTTCCACAATGTCAATATCTACACCATTCATCTGAATTGGTTTAATAAAAGATGCCCTTGTCCAGGGGCGTACGCAGGGGGGGGGGGTGGGGGTTCAAACCCCTCCCCCTTTGGTATTTTTATGTGTGTAAACCCCCCTAAAAAAACTTAACCCCCCCCCCCCCCCTTTGTTTGTTTTTTTGTTTTTTTTTTTTTTGTTTTTTTTTAATTAAAAAAAAAAAAAAAAAAAAAAAAAATTATGCCCACGGCTAAAGTAAAGTGACCTTACCCCTTACCCCCCCCCCCCCAACGAAAAAGAAATGTCAAATTTTCAAATTCCGAGACCAAAAAAAAAAAAAAGTGTCTGCTTACCCCCCCCCCCCCCCCCCCCCCCCCCACTGAGCGACTTTTCGGCCGGCGCGATTTTCAAATTTTCGGGAGCAAAATATTTTGGGCCAGATTTTAAACCCCCCACCCCTTGAAAAAATCCTGCGTACGCCCCTGCCCTTTTCTATCTAAAATCAAATATCAACTCTTTCGTTTGGGGGCATTAGTTATTAGTGGTATATGTGTTGTTGGCTAGCCTTGTTGGGAATCTTGCAAAAGATCCGATTAAACAATTAAAAACAAGCAAAACATACAAAACATAAAATCATAAACTTTAATTTCAACCGATTAGAGTCACACGTAGGCCCACGTAAGACATCTTTGTATGGAAGAGGCAACCCTTGTTTCTGGGAATATTGAATACTTTTTCTTATATCATATATGTATATATACCACACACATGTGTGTGTGAGGGGTGCGTGCACATGTGAGTGTTGGTTTTTGTGTATAATAATTAGATTAATACTGATACTTATGTCTCTTATTACAATTAAACTAGTTATCTTGAGGTCTAATCTGCTCTGTGTCGTTATTTGCATCATTTAAGTCTGTGTGTTTGAGTAAGAGAGAGAGAGAGAGAGAGAGAAAGAAGAAGGGAGACATAGGAGAACTATAGGTAGAGAGAGACGTGGTTTAAAGAAAACGCGAGAACAAAAATATAAAGAGACATATAGTTCTAAAGTGATACAGAGTGAGATATATATTATATATATAGAGAGAGAGAGAGAGAGAGAGAGAGGGGAGAAAGAGAGAGAGGGGGAGAGAGGCGGACAGACAGGGAGAAGAGAAGGTATACTAAAGAAAGTAAGAAAGGAAGAAAGTGGTATGGGCACTGACTTCATTTTGCGACTCCACTTTCTGTATCCATTCAAAAGTATTATAACTTCTGAAGAAGAAAAATTAGATTACCGTTTTTGAAGAAAATAATGCGACCAGAAAATGTAAGTCTCTGGTAAACCTGTTCTTGCTAGAACAATATACAGAACTGTAATATTAAATTGGAAACATAATTATTCAAACTAGTAGAATTTGAGCTAACAGTATCTTTCTCATGTCAAATTGAATTTTTTTTAAACAAAAATGTGAGTGAATCAGATAAAAGGAATCTCTCTCTCTCTCTCACTCCCACTCAATACAATAAACATTACAATGTTATCCTTTTCGCCCCTACCTCTCTGTTTCTCCCCCAAACTCAATACAAGAAACATTACAATATTATAATTGTAAGCATATAGAAAATATAACCAGTAAACAGAAGGGCATTTACCAGAAAGTCATAGCACGAAGATAGGTAGGCAAATACGACGTGTTATTTGATAAAATGTAGACGAACATAATGAATGAGGCTTCAAAACAATCACTCATTATTACGAATTCAGACAACAAAGTTCCTAAAAAATACTTCATCAGTCACAAGAACAACGATAATCAAATACAAGAACGTGTTAAATTGCTATAAGAAAGATTTAATCTTTTTAATTACCGAAAAACTACGCCCAATCGGTGCCTGTTGGTCCCCCATGATCCTCTTTTTCTTATGTTAAATGAGAGCTGAGTTAATGAGATAGCCACATGTCACAGTGACCTCGATGGCTCGCTGTGTGGTCTAATCCCTTCTTGCCCAGTAGTGGTGACGGTCTTTAAAAGAGAACAAAAAAATAATGAAAATACTATAACATATTTTACAAGTATATAGCCTTTTAAATAACTTTTTGGAAAAAATGTTCACAAGAAATAACAAACCGGAATGTGCCGTCATGACAGAAACGATTTTGTTTCTGTTTAAACAATTAAATCTTCAGTTGGGTTTTAAAATCATGTAATCAACTCTGCTGAACAATGAATACTATATGTTTACACACACACAAAACGGAGATGCTACCTAAGGCAAACACATAATATCATTTATCGCCACTAGATGGGGTACGACAGTCCAAGAGGATGGGAATATACAGTAAACTTGCCCATGTCGCGGCTCTTGACATGGTCCCGTTCTTTCTGGATACGCACCGCCTCCCTGATCCATCTGCTGAATTTGTTGTCAGTCTTTTTGGTTGTGATACAATGGAAATTCGATTCATGGAATAATTACAGATCAGATGAACCTCTTCAAGGACATAGTTACAAACCTTATTATAAGGTCCTAAAACAAATTATAAAATTTGAAACCTATCTGCAACTTGGTATCGAGAAAATATCAGAGTATGCAGAATGCAGCAGTCACCTTATCCTTCTCATTGAGAAAAATAAGAAAATATCACGAGCTTATATGATATGCCCACCTTGTAAAGTCGGCATAAACATTGCTCTTCTTAGCGCAGTATACATGTTAGAAGATCCCATGTTAAAAATGTAACATTATTATTTTACCTGATTAACGACAAAGGCATAGTGTATTTCAAACTAGTGATAAGAGCTAACAAAAACACGTTTTTTTTTTTTTTTTTTTTTTTTTTTTTTTTGGGGGGGGGGGGGGGGGAACAAATGTTAAATGCACGACAAAAGAAACGCGTTAAATGAACAAAATGTGATGATGTTGATGATTATGATAATGATGACGTAGAAGACGACTATGATGACGGAGGATGATATTAATTACAATTTCAATATTGACATTATGTAATAATAAAATTATTAAAATTATCATTGAAATGATGATCCTCATAATCATGATCATCATCATAACTATCCGACATCCATCATCATCATAGTAAAAATAATCATCATCGTTATAGTAATAATAATCATCATCGACATCATCATGTTAACCATCATATTCATCGTCATCTTCTTCATAATCATCATCATCATCATCACCATCACCACCACACCACCACAACCATCATCAATCATCCGACACAGTCATCGCGATGATATCACTGTGGTACAATGAAAGTCTGTGCTTGTAGACTACCAGTGAGGAAAGTGATGTTTATATTAAGCCATACACGTATCATCCGGGGTTCAATCCATCAACTTCCACCCAGTAGCGTTACGTACCTATAAGATTATTGTAACACCCAGTATGACATCCCTCCGCATGAACCTTCACACGGACGTACCTCTCATCACAAATTCATGACTCTATTTCAGGAATACAAAC